CTACGGCCTCTCCCCTCCCCGTGCAGCCCCCTGGCATGAAGCTCATCCTCTTTGCATCACCCTGGTGCGTGTTCTCAGCCTGGCTGAGGCTCCAGTCCATCTCTCCAGGAGGAGGGAGGTCACTGCTGCCATTCCCCAGCGGTGTCACACAGATGAAGCCGCAGGCAGTGAAGCAGCACTTCTGGTCCTGCAGGCACCCTCTGTCATCATCACAGGCATTGGGACATGGCATGCTCTGGTGCTGAGATGAGGGTTGGGGGCAAACGCCGGCGTGGGCTGGGGAGTGGGAACATCTGAGTGGGGAGCTCGGGGCACTGCGCTCTCCCTGCAGCTGGGAATCCCCCTGGCCCACAGCTGAGGCTGCTGTTCCTGTGCTGAGCCGAGGGATGCCATGGGAGCACCCCTTCTGCAAACACCCCTCGTCAGAGCTCTTGGCAGCTCTGTGCTGTTTGAGTTGCAAACAGAGACACTGCTGGGAAGGTTTCACTGCAAACAGCAGCTGTTCCACTCAAACAAAGGAAAGCTCCCATCGCTGCGGAGGCGGCAGTAGTGCAGAGCTGGGCTGCTCTGGTGCAGCTTTGTCCCACGCAGGGTGGGACGGGGCACTCGATGGTGTGTGCCCACTGTGCTACCCATTGGGTCATGGGGTTGGATCAGAGGATCACAGAATCACAGAATTGTAGGGGTTGGAAGGGAACTCTAGAGGTCATCGAGCCCAACCCGCTGTTAAAACAAGTTCCCTACAGGAGGTCACACTGATAGGTGTCCAGACAGGTCTTGGATATCTTGGATATCTCCAAGAGAAGGAGAATCCAGCACCTCTCTGGGCAGCACCCATCTGGATGGATCTGCATGAGTCAGGTGCTACATGCAGGGCTGAGGAAGGAAGGTATGGTCTGAGGAGGAAACTGATCCAGGGCTGCAAGGGAGTGGCTGAGAGCAGCTGTCAGCCCTGAGACCCCACAGCAGCACTGTGTGCACAGCACCCAACTGCTGCCCTGCACAGCCCCCGCGCAGCCCCTGGCCCTACCCAGCATCCGTGGTGCTGGGCCCTGTGAGAGCAGCAGAGGATAGCAATGTCCCAGCTCAGAAGTGCCAGCACCGGGGGATCCCGGGGCAGGAGATGCACACGGGGTGCTCCTGGACAGAGCTGGCTCAGACCCCCCTGCCGGTACTCACCATCTTCCTCCCCCAGTGCAGTGCTCTGCTCCGTCCCAAGGAGCAGCCCCAGGAGGAGGCAAAGTCCCAGGCACATGGTGCTGCGGGGATGCTGCATGCCCACAACTGAGGCAGTACTGGGTTTAAAGTCTCCGGCGGAGCTGCCAGGGGTGCTGCAGCACAAGTGGTGGGGAGCGGGCAGAGAACAGGAGGAGGGATCGTTCCCAGAACCGCAGGCGCCCTGCCAGCCGGCTGCTTATCTCCAGCCTCACTGCGCTTTTGGGTCAGGATGACCCATGGGGATGGGGCAGGGACAGGGACAGGGCAGCGAAGGTCACACAGGCACCATCCCTGCAGTACTGCACAGCAGAGCCTGGACAGCCCCCAGGATGGAGCACAGTAATGGGTTCAATCAGGATAGGAAGGAGTGGAGCTGCATGGCTCCCAGCACCAAGGCGCTGCTCCTCTCCCTGTCCCCAGGGTGTGCTCCATCTGCCCCTGACTGTGCTTCCAACCTGAGTTTCACACTTTGGGATGCAAATAAACCCTTTCTTGGTGCAAGGAATCTGAGTCAACAGGTTTCTGGCACTCCTGTTGGGACAGCAGCAGTGTTTCCCCAGGACCTGGACAGTGTGGTGGTGGTGCCTGGGGGGCACAGCATGGAAACAGGGCCTCCTCTCCCTGCCTCAGGGCTGCCTGCAGCCACGTGTCCACCCACAGTGCCTGCACCATGGAAAACCCCCAGCACACCGCAGGCAACAGAAAGCACTCACTGCAGCCCGGCTGCCACATGCTGGTTTATTCTGGGTCCACGTTTCCAGGTAGACTGGGGGTGTCCATGCCATGCACAGGCTGGCTTGTGCAGAGGGGCTGGATGTGGGGGTTTGCCTTTGTCCCTGCAGCACAGCTGTGGGAGGTGGCAGAGACTTCAGCCAGAGTCAAACATTGCTTATCACCCCAGCCAGAGATGCTGCCAGAGGGATGAGAGCAGTGGGACAGTGGGTGCTGCAATGGCAGTGGGGTGGAATGGCCCTAAAATGGCAGCTCCCAGAGCCACCCCCACAGCCAGGGCTAGGCTGTGCCTGGAAGAGATGGATGTGGTGGTCAGAGCAGGACGAGTGCTCCATCCTGTGCCATCCCTTGCAGGCAGGGTGTGGGGTTCGTCTTACCCTGCAGTGGGGGAACGCATGTGCGACCGCAGTCCTGCAGGCAGCACTTCTGGCTGGGTGGACAGTCCTTGTCCTCCAGGCATAGGACGAGGCACTCACCAGCCCTGGTGGTTGTGGCAGGACAGAGCCCGGGGCGCACTGTGCACGTGCAGAGAGAGGGAATAGTGTGGTGAGCCCCTGGCCTTGGATGCTGCCACTTCCCCAAGCCCCCATCGGCCCCCGAAGGGGCACAGTGCTCCAGGGCAAAGGGGCACTGGCCCTGCAGGGAGGGTGCTCAGCCAGGGAGGGGATGGGGGAACGTGGCACGATTTCTGCCCCATGGCTCAAAGCTTTTACCCTCGGTGGGCAGTTTGCAGACGTGGCCGCAGCCAGTGGTGCAGCACTTCTTGGCCCCAGGACAGTCAGCATCGCTGTCACACCGATCCAGGCAGGGGCCCAGGGAGCCTCGCAGCACCACGGGGCAAGCACCGGACTTCGCTGCAAGAGAGCAGCCCTGAGCATCACAGCCCTGAGCATCACAGCCCCACTGTGCCCATGGGAGCTTGGCTGCATTGGGAACTTGTGCCTTGTGCATGGCTTAGGGTTGCAGCGTGCCCCTGCCCAGCTCCCCTCTGGCCTCCATCCTGCCCCCATCCTGCACCTGTGGCATGCATGGGAAGTGCACAGGTGTGCATGGGGTGTGCACACCTATGGAGGATGCACGCCCGGAGAGGTGTGGGGATGGGGGCAGCAGGTACCTGTGTACGGGGTAGTGCAGGTCAGCCCGCAGCCAGAGAAACAGCACTTCTGGTCCCCGGGGCAGTCCCTGTCATCGGTGCACAGGTTGGGGCAGGCAGCATCACGCCGGGCTCGCTTCCGTGGGCAAAAGCCGGATTTGGCTGGAGAGGACAGGGGGCTCAGGATGCAGCTCAGAGCCAGCCTGCCCCTGCAGCAGTGATGCACTGCTCTCACAGTGACAAAATTGCCAACCCATGGCTCTGCCCTACTGCACCTCTAGCCCAGCACAAACACAGCCCCCCGACTCGGGCAACCTTACCTGGCTCAACTCTCATGCAGCGGGCGCAGCACCTCTCCCCATGGCCACACGCAGTCTCATTGCAGCAGCTCACCCCACAGCTCACCCCCACAGGGCTGCCCAGGCTCTCTGTGAGGGAAGCAGTGCTGTGTGCTGGGGAGCACAGCTCGCCCCGTGGCACCCATCCCCCGTCCAGCACCAGCAGCTCCACAGCTCCCCGTACCTGCAGTAGGGAGCATGCAGGCGCGCACATCCCGGAGAAGGCAGCACTTCTCAGCGCCGGGGCAGCTGTGGTCAGACAAGCAGTACCTCCTGGTGGGGCGCGTGGGGCTGCTCCCCACTGCCGGGCACACTCCTGCTTTGCTGGGGGCAGGGAGGGCGGCTGGTGGCCGCTGGCCCCTGTGTGCCCGGCGTGGTGGGGGGCTGGCAGCGGGGCCATCGCCGCGATCCCCACGGTGCTGCTGGGCTGGGGCAGGCAGCAGAGGCAGGGCCAGGAGGAGCAGCGCGAGGGCACAGGTGCTGGGCATCGTGCTGTTGGGGCTCCTGTGGCACTACGACTGCCAGTGGGTATTTAAGTCTGCTGGGGGGCACCAGCCCATGGCAGCACATGTTTCCAGGGCTGTGGGAGCACTGAGCATGAACAATTCGTTTCGAGGGAGACTCCCAGAGCAGTGCTGGGCTCTCAGCCCGTGGCTGGCGCATCCCCTGCAGCGCTCCCTTTCCAGGTCACCAGTGACCCGCAAACAGCCAGGCCAGGGGATGTGGGAGGTGCTCCCCAACCCTGCTCCCTGTGCTCCCCAATGTGGGCACCTGGGAGAGCCTGGTGAGCCTGTGCATCCCATCACTGCTTCCCAGAGCCCACCCCATTCTGCCCAGGAATCATCAGCATCACCTCCTAGCATGCATGGAGTGGGGAGCGATGCTGCAGAGCCTTGGTGGGATGTGAGTGGGGACACATCCATGCTGCAGGCACCAGGCTGTATGGGGCAGGCTGCAGGGTGGTTGTGTGTGCCTGGCTCAGCTGTGCTCTATGTAATCCTCCAGAAGGGCCTTCAGAGGTCCAAGGGACCGTTTGCTGTGGCCCTTGGGGTTCCGCCGCTCACGTTACCTCTGGGAGCTGTGGGGCTCCTGGGAAGAGTGGAAGAGCAGCAAGAGCAAGGGCTGGGTCCGAGCAGGGTGGGCAGGGATGGGGCAGGGACATGCAGGCTTCGTTGCCCACAGCTCCCTCAAGCAGCTGCCATGGGCGTTGTGCTGCTGGTGGGCTGGGAGTGTGTAGTGCAGGGGGTGCTTGGAGAAATGCTGTGCCATTGCACACAGCAGCAGCAGAATTGTTGTCCCCCTAGGCCATCACAGAACTCAGTTCCATGGACGCAGCTGCAACTGCATATCAGGCCCCAGTTGGAGCACATCCCTTAACTGGCTGAGGAGCAAACGTCAGAGCAGCTGAGACTGTGGGACAGCACTGAGCAGGAGCATGGGCTGGGGAGCCTTGGGGAAATGGGGCCTGGGATCAGCACTGCAGGAACGGTGCTGGCTTGGGGTGGGCATTTGTCTGGTGCAGACCCTTCTAGACACTGCCTGCTCCAGCAGCCATTTGGGCACACTGAGTGCACTGCAGAGTGCAGCTGGAAGCGCATCAGGATGGAGACGCGGCCAAAAACAGGGCAGGGAGTGGCTGCTTTATTGGCGAGAGTGCAGGGGGCTGTGGCACACCCCGAGCGGGGCCCTCGGATGGGTGTTGAGGCTGAAGGCTCCACGCTGGGGTCCCAGACAAGGCCGGGGCAGGAGGGCACCAGGGCCTGGCCATGCAGCGTCACATTGGGCAGCAGCTTCCCTACAGCTGGGATGAAGGAGGCTGCACCTGCAAAGGGAGCAGAGGGCTGTGAGCAGGATGGGGCAAGTGGGACAGGAGCCCGGGGCTGGGTGAGTGCTGACTGACCTCAGTACAGTGGAGTCACACAGGAGACCTTCCCGCAGCCATTCCTGCAGCACTTCAGGCTCCCAGAGCAGTTGGAGTCCATCTTGCACTGGTTAATGCAGAGCCCCAGCATGGGGATCCCTGGCTTCACGGACGGGCAGGTGCCAGGTTTCTCTGCAAGGCGAAGGACATGGCGTGAGACCCACTGTCCCCAGCAAGGTGTGCAGGGCTGTGCTGCAGCTCGTGAAGCTGAGTGTGGTGAGCACCCTGCAGCAGAGCGGCTGTGGGGCCATGCCTGGTGCAGAGCCGGTGAGGGCACTGCTCGGAGACCCTTCCTGAGCTCATTGCTGGATGCAGGACAGTACTGGGGCTGATGCACTGTGCAGCTGGTACGTCCCAAAGAATGTGAAGTGCAGTGGGTGTGTGCTCTCAGCCCCTGGCAGCGATCTCAGCAGCACCAGGGATGCTCAGAGCCAACTGAGCTGCAGGCAGGAGGAAGAGGTGAGTGTGGCCAGCACCACCCAAGGCTGTGTGGGCAACTGCTCCATTGAAGCATAGCCCAATCCTGTGGGGCTCCGTGCAGAGCCCCATGACTGTGCTGCAGGCAGAACACAGAGGATGCCCAGGACCACACCGCTACCGAGCGCTGGGAGCCCCGGAGGCATTGGCTCATGGGAGCAAGACTTGCACCGACCCTGGGAGCGTTACCGTTGGGCTCCTGGCAGGCCTTGCCACAGGCCGCCGGGCAGCACTTGAGGGTGCTCTCGCAGTCGCCATCGGACTGGCACCCCATCGTGCAGTTCGCTTCTTCTGCTGCTGGCTCCGGGCACACGCCGGCTTTTACTGAAAGGCAAAGGCACACGGTGTGGGTGGGAGGGCTGTCTGGAGGCAGGCGATGCTGTTCCCAGTCCCGGCGTGGGCTCAGGGATGCTGCAGAGCTCAGCCACGCTGCAGAACGTGTGCCTGGAGCCCATCCCCAGCAGGCCCCAGGCCAGGAGTGATGCCGGCTGCTGCCGCGGGGCCGTGCGCTCATACTCACTCGTGACATTCAGGACGGATGCTGGCAGCAGCTCTGCCCAGAGAACCAGGAGCCCCGCGAGGAGGAGCGCGCTGCTGGCCTTGGGCATGGTGCAGGGGAGCTGTGCGTGTGCGGGGCCACCCGGCTGGGCTTTAAGCTCCTCTCCAGGTGGGGCGGGAGGGGACTGCCTTCCGGGTGGCTCATAAGGAACTGGCTGGGCCAGGCTCCCCCTTCGTGCCATTGCACAATCCCCAAGTATCAGGTATCTGCTCGCTGCTGGCAGCTGACCAGGAAGTGGGAGCCTCGAGGAGCCCAGGCGTCTACACAGAAAACTTGCCCGGCAGGAACAGCAGCCAAGCCATGCTCGGCATGCCAGGAGCCCCCAGCCCACAGCCCGTGGGGCACAGAGCCACGGCAGGCCCTCTAATGGTCAGCTCAGGCTTGGGGCCAGCAGTTCATGTGGCACACGTGACAACTGTGCTCGGATCCGTCCGGTCCCTGGGCTGGCAGCCATCGCGTACGTGAGCGCAGCCCCTGCCCTGGTGAGCTGCCTGGGGATGCAGTGGTGCTCGGTCGGTGGCAGGCAGGCAGTGAGCTGCTGTGTGCTCTGGCTGTGTGCCCTCTGCTCCATGGTACCAGGCAGTCCTGCAGCCTGCGCATTGGGTGCCTGGCAGTGCTGAGCAGCGCCAAGCCGGGCTGTATTTGAGCAGACCAAGCAATCCTAATCACCCCACGTGGCTGCTGGCTCTCATCACTGTTTGCCACTCCACCAGTTCTTGCTCATCTGCAGGTGCTACCAGCAGTGGTTTTCATTCCTTTGGGTTTGCTGACGGAAGCAGAGCGGCTCAGCACCGTGCTGAGGGACCTGAGGGGCCTCAGCCCTTCACTCACTGCTCCAGGTTTGGCTCAGTGCATTTGATCACTGCGTGGGATCCAGTGCTCTGCACGGTGATGGTGCTGCCCAGCTGCAGGGCTGGGGCTGGATCTTCTCTGCTGGGCAGGATCCAGAGCATCCCTGGCCCCAGCCCTATCCTGGATGTATGCCCAGGCTGAGCCTCTGCTCTGCAGTGTGAGGGTGGAAATGGGGCCCTCCTTCATCGCTGAGTCCCCATCACTGCACCCGCAGCCCTCACAGCTTTGGGCTGCAGCATCCTGGAGCTGTGTGGGCTTGGGGCTGCATGGGTTCAGGGCAGGCAGTCCCCGCTCTGAGGTCACGAGCTGTTTGTCTGCTCGGCCAGCATCTATTTCCAGGTAATTTAAGCCCACAGTCAACAACGCAGTGAGGCACGGAGCAACAGTAAATCAGTAACTGTTTGCATTTGCCGCGGTCCCCTCCCCAGCGCGTGTGTTTATGCAGTAACAGGACCCGGCGCTGACACCCGCGGGACACTCACTGCATTTCATTGCTGTGTAGCATGGTGGGAATGGGGCAGCAATGGGGATAGCACTGGGATAGCATTGGGATAGCATTGGGATAGCATTGGGATAGCATTGGGATAGCATTGGGATAGCATTGGGATAGCATTGGGATAGCATTGGGATCGCCCCACACCCTGCAGTGCCTGCTGTGTGCCAGGAACTGTGCTCTGTGCTGGGAAACTGCTCCAAGCTGGGGCTCCTGGCCCCGGGGCAAATAAAGGAGCTCCTGCATAAAGGCAGCCTTGTTGCACCAGGACATGCTGCTCCAGCAGTGGGCTGGGCTGAACATCAGGCTGGGCTGAGTGCACGGTGCTGGGCTGAGTGACAATGTGTCCCCACTGTGTGCTGCACGGGGACAAAATCCAACCTAACCTAACGCTGCAGCAGGGCTGGCACCTGGCAGTGGGGCAGTGCTGCCCACCCCACAGCTCCGGGATCAGCTCCATGTCCTGCCATGATCTGTGCTGCTGCACCTGCCATGATCTGTGCTGCTGCACCTGCGCCGGTGCTGCCAGCAGCACTTGCCTTTGAGGTTTATCACTCTGCTCAGATGGCTGATCTTCTAATTGCCCTTATCAGTCCCTTTGGCTTGTAAAATCTGTAGAGTGCAGCATTTCCTGAGCACTGGTGTGAGTGGGATGGGGCCGGGGGGGCTGCGGACGTGCGGATTCCCGCAGCCAAGCTGCACCACAGCAGCCAGCAGCAGGGAAACTGCAGAGGGTGGGAGCCCAGAAAGCCCTCCAAGGACAGCACTCATGGAGGAGCAATGCAGAGCAGGGCAAGGGCTTTACCCAGGGGTGACACCGTGACCCCCGTGGGACACTGCTCAGCTCCTGTTCTGCCTGGATCTGCCTGCAGCCAGCAGGAGCAGCTGGGGAGGCACAGAACCTACCGGCTGAAGGGCCTGCAGCTGTGCCTGGCTCAGCCCACGCACTCACCATCGCTTCCCAGAATATGCTTTGGCTCCTATCGCCCACACACAGCATTCAGGATGCTACTGTCCTGCCCTGGCTCTGCCAGGTGCTTCCCTACCAGAAGACAGGGACAGCCATGGCTCTGTGAGCCGCGGCAGCCAGCTCTGTGCCAAGGTATGCCATGGACAGGACCCTGGCCCAGGAGCCCAAACTGATGGGCGCCCTTCCCCCAGCAGAGGAACAGTGAGTGCACTGCGCCCGGTGACCACAGCTGACCCACAGGTGGCAAGAAAGGAGCTGAGGTCACAGCCCCTCCATGAAGAGCACAGCAAATGCCCAACAGGCAGTGTGGCTGTGCACCCCGGCAGGCAGGGACACAGGGAGACAGGGTGAAAAGGGGACACCCCTTCCTTCAGGCTCAGGCACTTTCTGAGCTCAAATCATGACAGACAGCCTCATTCATGGGCTGATGTTCTGGGAATTCTGACCGCTCTGGGGGCTGTCCCACCCCTCCAGGCATGCCCCATGTAAGCGGAAGTGCTCTGCTGCTGTCCCCAAGCTCTTCTTGCCCCCATGCTACCTGCATGGCACGGATCTCAGTGGCACCGCTCAGGGCTGAGGAGCTGTCAGGCAGTGCCTGGCCCTGTGCTGCTGCAATGTGTCCCACCGGAGGGACAGCAGCCCATGCCAGCCCTGCAGTGCCCTGGGAGCTGCTGTGACCCTGTGCCCACCTCATGCACTCACCTATGGTTACAGCGGCCGTGGCAGCTGGCTGCAGCTGTGTGCACAGTGCAAGGATAACCACAAGCAGAACACAGGCGGCCTTCATGGTGCTCCCGAGGATTCCGACAGCTGGCGTGGGTCAGCGGGGGTTTATATCCATATGAGGCTGGGGAGGGGCCACCACACACATAACCTTTGGGTGCTGAAACTCCTGCTGCATTTCAAGGCTGTGCCCGAGGCAGCAGCAGCAGCCCTGTGTGATGTCATTAACTGAGAAATCATTTACCATGGCCCTCTCCCACTCCCAACAGCCAGGCTGGGTGGGGAGGTGAGCACTGTGCCTGGGTGGTGGCAACGTGGGCGACAGGCCAGGGAGCACGAAGGAAAGGGCTGGAGTTCCCTGGTTTGAGGACAGCAGGGTGGTCAACAAAGGGGTGGCAATCTTCTCTCCACAGCCACTCTCCATAGCTATGGGGACTCATCACCACACATGTCAGATGCCGCCTGGGCCTGGAGAGAGATGGGACAAGCTGTGGGTCAGGGAGCAAGGGTGGGAGGCAGGAGGACGTCTGCCCACTGTGCTGTGCCCACACCTCGGTGTTGGCTCCTGCCTGCCCCGTCCCCATGTCACAGCCCTGGTCCCCAAGGGTGAGCATGGCCTCAGGGGGTGCAGAGTGTGGGAAGGCGCTGTGCCGTGCCCCCACCCACCTTGCACCCATTCCTCTGCAGGGCCAGGCAGGCTGGGTGCGTCACGTCGGCAGGGTCAGTGTGGGGCTGCCTCCTGCCCGCCCCATGCCCCACTGCACCCGATCCCTGCAGGTGCTGCAACCCCCAGACGGGGTGGGGAGCTCATAGGGAGTGAAGGGTGAGCGGTGCCACGGTGTGCCGCTCTGTGCCACGTGGCCCAAGGTGGGTGACGCAGCCAAGGTGACCCAGACACTTAGCAGCACCTTCGTGTCCCCACGGGGCTGCACATGTGGTGCCATGACCCATGTGCTCCAGCTGCCTCTTGCTTCAGGGCCTGCCTTGTGGGCACTGGGCTCACTGGGCTCAGCAGAGCTATGTGGTGGAAGTCAGATGCCCCAAGGAGTGGCTGTGGCTGTGGGTGGTGGGTGACAGATGTGGTGCAAGGCTAGGTGTGGGGTAGGGGGCTGCAGGGTGGGAACTGCATGGTGCTGGGGCCGGTGAGGAGGAGCAGAGCAGGGAACGGGGAGAGGCCATGGCTGAGCACCAGGCGGGCAGCGACTGCTGCTGGCGGGGCTCCTTTCAGCCCACCTGCAATTGGGCGTCAACGTGCCGGGCCGAAGGGATCGCTGCTGTCTCAGAGGGGGGATTGTACACCTCGCCGATCCTATTTCCCTGCTCGGAAATTCCTGTTTGCGTCATCCATGCTCCCAATAGCCAAACGCGCTTGTTGCTAGAGAGACTGCACCTGAAACAAAGGGAACCTTCAGCAAGAGAAACAAAAGGCCCCAGAACAGTCCCATCCCCTCAGAGAGACGCCCCGACGTGAAGACGAGCAGCGCCGCGACGGCACCGTGGGGATTCATAGAGTCACAGCATCACAGCATGGCTGGGTTGCAAGGAATCCCAGAGCTCCCCCAGACCCCCCACCCCGTGCCGTGGGCTCTCTGTCCCACCTCCCACCCCACATCAGACTGCTCCGGGCAGCTTCCATGGCCTTGGGCACCTCCAGGGATGGGGCACGCACAGCTATCGCCGGGTCCCCTCGGCCTTGGGGACCTCCTGCTCGGTGCGCGCAGCCCCCTCCTCTCCGTGCTCCGGTCGTGCCGTGCCGCGCCGTGCCGCCAACGGTGCGCGTTGGCCGGCAGGGGAGGCTGTTGCTCCGCCGAAGCACGGCTGGGCGCTGCCCGACACTGAACGGAGCCGAGCCGAGCCGAGCCGTGCCGAGGAGCGGAGCTGAGCCGTGCCGAGCCGTGCTGTGCTGTGCTGTGCCCAGCCGAGCCGAGCCATGCCGTGCCGTCCAGAGCCGTGCCGTGCAGAGCCGTGCTGTGCTGTGCCCTGCCAAACCGCGTCGTGCCGTGCCGTGCCGAGCCGAGCCGAGCCGAGCCCAGCCCTTCCGTGCAGAGCTGTGCCAAGTGAAGCCAAGCAGTGCTGAGTCGAGCTATATAGTGGTTAGCCAAGCTGTGTCGAACCGTGCTGAACCAAGCCGGGAGGAGCCCCGACGTTGCGCAAGGCCCAGGGCAGGGCACCGGACCGTACATAAGGTCGCCAGGTGTGGGCGTTGTGAGGGCAGTGCCATGGAGCCGGGTTTGCTGCTGCTGTTGCTCCTAACGGCCCCCTGGGGCCAGGGCTGGGCGACTTCGAGGCACGCATCGGGGGAGATGGCACGGACAGACCGTCCCTCCATGCGACCGGGTGAGTGCCAGTGTGTCCCGGTTAGGGCATGGTCACAGAGCCATGGGATTTGAGGCCGGACATCACACGGCGAGGGGAATAGGAAGAAAAGCCAGCACAGCCCCAGGGCCATGATGCAGATCTGATGCACACAGAGCTGGGGGCGGTGGCAGGAAAGCGTTACTTCTGTCCCAGGTTCAGTGCATCCCAACAGCACTGGTGTTCCTGTGGGCACTGTGATGCTCCATGTGCCCACACTGCTGCTGGGCTGTGCTGGAGGAAGGGGAACTGGGGATGGGGCAGCGGGTGTGAGGGTGGCGTGGGACCTGCAGGGAGGCTGAGCAGCTCTGGGATCTGCTGCCCATGCTGAGCTGTAGGGGCCATGCTGGTGACTCTGCCACTGTTCTCCCTCCCAGGGGAGCCTGGTAAGTGCCAAGAGACCAGCATGACCACCACGAGCCCCCGTAACACCGTCTGCTCCTCCAAGTGCGTGGGGAGCACAGGATGCAGACAAGAGTGCCAGCAAGGTGAGGGATCCCGTCCTCCCAGCAGCCCCACAGGCCCCACAGAAGCCTGCGCTCTGCTGTCTGGGGGGTGAGCTGGGGGTCCTGTGTCCCATCCTGGCACAAGGATGGGATGCTGTGTTCTGGGTAGGTCTGATCACTGTCCGCTGCCTGTGCATCACGCACAAGGGCTGTTGCAGGGCCCCTGCACCCCACCTCTCTTACCTTTCAGTCCCTCTGGTGCAGGGTCTTGTTGTGCCCCCTGCTCCCCACCCGACAGATAGGACAGGGATGGGCACGGGAAGGGGCTGATGGGGCCCTGACCCCCTGTCACCCCCAGTGAATGAAGATTTCCAACCACGGATTGACCCCGACCCAATGACCAACTGTGTGAACAAATGCAGAGATGACGGCAACTGCAGGGGCAGCAGGAAGTGCTGCCGCATCAGGTGCCGGTTCCGCTGCCCGCAGCCAGTACCAGGTAAGGGCAGTCAGGACTCTGGGCTTGGTACCACGGCTGGCATGCACCCCATGGGCATGAGCCCTTCTTCCCCATCCGCAGCCGGACCGGACACCTCCCCCAAGAAGAAGGCGCCGCACACCATCGGCTGCCGCAACAGCACCTGCAGCGGTGACACCGAGTGCCCCAACCACCCGCCGTGCTGCCCACCCCTGCGCAGGAGCTCCAGGCTCAGCGTCTCTCTGTCTCTGCTGGGCTTGGGCTGCCGCTGGTGCTCTGACCCCAGGGAGCTGTGCCACCTGGCCCCGGAGCGCGGCCCGTGCAGGAGGCGCATCTATCGCTACGCCTACATCCCTGCCTTGAGGTCGTGCCGCGTGTTTGTGTACAGCGGCTGCGGGGGGAATGCCAACAACTTCCGTACGGCGGAGGAGTGCCGGCAGGTCTGCGAGTACGGTGAGAGCCGGGCACGGGTGGGAGCACAGAGCGGGGTGAAGGCTGCGCAGGGCAGCACATGCCGAGGGAAAGCACCCAGTGCTGCTGCGGCTGCTGCTGGCGGGTCTGCCCGGAGCCCTGCCATGCAGAGCGGTGCTGTGGCGGCCAGGCAGCAGCAGCCATGGTTGCTCGGCCGCTGTGCATGTGGGTGCCACGTGGGGACTGGAAGCGTTCCTGCTCGGTGATTCCAATCAGCACACGGCTCCATCCTGGGAGCTGGGTTTGTCTTCGGCATGAAGCAGGCGATGCTCTTAGCAATAATAATTGCACCTGATTATCAAAATATTAATCCTGCCAATCCTATGCTCTCAGCCTGCACGGGAAGAAATGGCTCTCTTTGCAGGCGGCTTCCCTTTTCTATGTGCACATTTAGGAGAGCAGACTGGGGGGACTGGCAGTGCCGCCGCAGCCCTGCGGTGGGCAGCAGCACCCGGCAGAGCCCAGCCGGTTGCAGCCCTGCTCACTGCTCTGCCTTTCTCCCCAGGGCTGGATAAGCGCTGACCTCAGGACATCACAGCCCACCCAGATCCGCAGAGCCGACCGTTCTGCCCCACACAATAAAGCCGCCAGGACGCCTGGCTTGGAGCAGCACCACTGCCTCTGTCTTGCCTTCCCAACACATCTGCGTGGACGCTGGGGCAGGGATGGGGCCGGGGCAACAGGGTGGCAGTGGGAGAGCTGGGCATCGCTCTCGGATGCCGGGTTAATGACGGCAGCGCTGTGGCCACCTCCGCAGCGCGGCTCAATACAGCTCTAATAGCGCCATCCGTAATGGCCCCAGCCGGGTGGCACAGAGCCGGGGGGATGGGGCAGGTCTGGCTGCAGCTCCGGACCGTGGCACAGCCTGGCTGGCGGCATAGGAAGGCGGCCTCCCAAAATGGGGTTTTTATTACAGCCATACATCACGGCAGCAGCCCGATGTGGGCAGACGGAGGTGATTTTTCTTCATGGTTTACAGACAAATGAGGGGAAGGAGAATTGATGTGAACTTTGCTATAGCAAGAGGTTGGCCATGCGGGCAAGGAGATGGCTGTGCTTGTGTTGGGCACTGTGCAGAGGGGCTCTGCCCCAGCCCGCTCACACAGCCTGGTGTGCCCCTGCCCCAGGAGCAGCCCCAGCCCCTCAGGTACTCACAGCCACCAGCCCCTCTGCAGTCCCAGTAACTGCCCAGCTCCTGCGCAGGTGGATGGGAGCATCACGTCTGACCCGAGCAGCGGCTGTGATCCTCCTCCTGGGGTGATACTCAGTGGCTCTGAGCAGGGTTATTAATTGCGACTGATGTTCATTAGCACTGCAAATGTGGTGTGGATGTGCAACTCCAGGCTGGCTGTTTTTTGGTGAGATCTTGATTGCCCTCGCCACAATTAGAGTTGCCTCCAAACACCACGGTCCTGCCTGGTGTAAGATAACAGTTAATACCCACAAATAGTGACTATCAGCTTCTCCATAAGGCCCATAAATATTAATGCAATTCTAATTAGTTCCTTTAAGTACATTGCCTAAATTAAGCGTTTCCTCAGCAATAAATCAGCAGTGCTTTGGCATTCTGCTCATGCCCATTCAGCTGATCACAAGCTCAGGGCTCCCACTGACTGCCTGCATGGGGGTCAGACCCGCAGCCACCTGGGGCTGCGCTGTGCCAAGCGGTGCCATGCTACGCTGTGCTGTGCCACGCTGAGCCATGCCAAGCTGTGCCGTGCCGTGCCCAGGTGGAAGGCTGACAGCCCAGCTGGTGACACTCCTTGCTGGCTGTTCCAAGGCTGCTGGCTGAGTGTCTGCAGAGCTATGCGGGGCCCCATGGTTGTGGAGGTGCCACCTGCCATCCCCGGTGCAGCGTCACTTGGTGACCCCAGGCTGCCACCAGCAAAGTCTGTGATCCTGGTGCTGGAGCGGGGAGCCCCACGCTGCAGCCAGAGCTTTGGCACGTGGTTGTGAGTGAGTTTTCAATGATAAAATATCTCCTAAGGACTCCAGTGTCATTGATATAGAAATAAACCCAGTATTAGATTCAGAAGAGGAAAGGGAGCCTAGACACCACTGAATAAGCAGACAGTGCCCTGTGACCTTAATCAGGAGTAATATTATTAATACATTTTTCCCCAGGTGCACCCAGAGATTTGCATTTCCAGCAATTTGCACAATAATGAGGCAAGCTGACCACGCATCACCTCTACAGCGATCACCTCTGAATCAATGGCAGCGTGCCGGCAGCTCGTCATCTCCAACTGCAGCTGTGCATCCCTGCACTGCCCCACTGCCTCCAGTGCAGCTCCTGCTCCTCCTGGCAGAGGAGAGGTTGTGGGATGGGATGGAATTAAGGGGGGTGGAATGGGATGGGGTGGAGGGGATGGCTCTCCTGGTGCTGCTTTTCCCAATCCAGCTCTCAGAAGGAGGTGCATGTGTCATACTCAGCTTTGAGCAGAGGGACAGAAGCGCCGTGCATCTGCTGAGCTCTCTGGTGCTGATGCTACTGGAAAAGAGCAAATACCAAACTCATTTGCTTGAGGAGAAATTAATACAGTGTGAAGCCTGTAGTGGGTGATTTAAGAACTGGGTTTAAAATCGCAACACAAATAGATTTTTTTATAAGGTCAGAAGAAAGATTAAATGCTACAGACAAGCACAGCGATTGCCATTTCAAGCATCACTTTTCCATAACTATTTGGGACTGGGCTGCCATGTGGCTCAGAGCCCCCTGGCATGGGGCTGTCCCCAGGCTGCATCACAGGGAGAGGACACGGAAGTGCAGGTGGTGGCAGCAGGCACTGTGTCACCCCATGGGACACAGCCATCAGTCCTGCACAGTGCCCAGGCTGTGGGTACCTGCATGCAGGAGCTGGGGCTGGGGGGAGGAATCACATCCCCCAGCAGGAAGAATTGATGCCAGGAGACATGATGGTGTGAGGTTGCAGTCGGAAGATGCCCCCATCCATCACGAGGTGCTCGTTATTGGGTAACACCCCACACGCCGGGCTGATTTCACACCTTATCTGAACCCAGCAGCTGTGCCCTAAATCCTGAGTGCCGTGCCTGTCTGGAGGAATTCGGCTGCCTGTGTTTAAAATTAGTGTTAGCATCTATCATCTCCCCACACCAAATGGCTTCTGTGTCGACACTTGGCAGCGCTCATCCGTCACCGGGCACGGCGCTGCCCGGCTCAATGCCCTCTCCATCACTGTCACAGGACCCCTCATTGGCAAAATGTCACCCAAAGGACACGTGTGACAGCCTGGCTTCTCCCTCTGCTGGCACTGCTGGTGGTGACGGCCCCCACGGCCCCCGGCTCTGCACTGCCATGTCCTTAGAGCTTCAGCATTGTGGGTGCAGCTTGCTCCCTGTGTGCCATCCCTGTATCATCCCCGGTTTCAGAACCACAGCTCCACTGATGCCCCAACTCCTGCCCCCTGCTGTGCCATGCAGTGTAGGGCACAGGGGGCGATGCCTGGCAGTGGGATGCACTGAGCTCCCGCGCCGTCAGCGAAGTGCCATAAATAACATCCCATTAACGCAGCGCCGCCGCTGTGCCTAGTGACTGATTTTGCTGGCTCCATTATGGGCTTCATAAACAGAGTCGTTTATTCCCAGCCTTTGCTCCAGTGCCTCCGGGGATGGGAGCTGTGCCTGCTGCTGCTCCGAGGTGCTGCGGCCCCAGTGCTGAGCTGTGTGATGGGTTGTGCCCAACATATGTGTTGGTGAGGCACAGCCACAGGGACCTCGCAGCACGGGGAAGGATGGGTGTCTGTGCCCAGGAATGGATGGGTGCTGTGCCTGGAATCAGAGGCAGCCCTGCACAGACGCTGCATCTCCTGATGCTGTGCGGCCCAGGGCTGGCTTCTCCCCATGACATGGGCACGGCTGGCTGCTCCCCACAGCCCATACAGAGGAGATGGAATTGCAGGTGGTGATGCCATCCATGCTGGGCATATGGAACAGCCTTCCCACACTGCAGCTCACCGTCTCCTGCCTGGTGCTGTGGTGGCACCGCAGCTGCGTGGCTGCTGCCCAGCGAGGAGCTCTGCCAGGCAGGTGATGGCGGAGCTGTCGGCGTGATGAAAAGCCTCCTGCAGCAATGCAGATAACATACAAGCACAGGTCAGCTGAGGCCCGTGTAGCCCATCCATCAGGCGCAGCAGCTACAGGCGCTTCCCGTGCCACCATCTGATGCATGCTATCCACCACAAATGTGTTTCTTCCCCCAAGGTTAAACGGATGAGTGAGGTTCAGGCAATGACAGCTCTGCTTGCCCTGTGCAGGCGATAAACGAGCTGAAAGAGCCAGAGGGAAAAAAATGGTTTGTTTGCTGTCAAATGCTCCTTCTGATGGTGCTGGGCCAGGTGCTCCCTGCAGAATGCCAGCAGCATGGAGACGTGCGTGAGGATGGGACCTGTGCTGGGGATTGCCCCCAGCTCAGCCACCAATGGGGGCAGCCTCTGCTGCACTGGCTGCTGCATGTGGGTGAGCGCAGTCGTGGCTGAGCTGCTCAGCTCCGTGCAGGAAGGCAATGTGGGATGATGGTGCAGGTGGAGACATCCCTGAGGTCTGGAGATGAGACCTTCAGAATGCTATGCTAAGGGCTCAGGGCTGCACCTCTCATCCTTTGCGCTGTTCCAGTTCTCTGCAATGCGATACGGAGGGGTGGCCCTGCCAGACCATGCGGGCATCATGAGACCCCCATGTCCCAGGCACTGCTGCCCCCAGCCTGGCTCAATGTCACACCCCTGGGCCTGTCAATGTGAGAAAGGTTTGCAGCCGATAAGCGATCGGGCTGTCAGCCGTGCCGTGCCTCTCACTCGTGATTTACTGCGACGCCGCTAACGGAGCACAGATTTTTCTTAATCTAAATTGAAAACTACTCAAGTAGAAAAATAATTTCATTGCCTCATCTGGAAGGATCGGGGGAGGCAGACGCGTTGTTCCGGGGCCGGCTGCACCACATTCCTGACCCTTTGTGCCACGCAGGAGCCACAGCAGCAGCACGATGGTCCCTACGGGGTCAGCGGTGCCCGATGTGGGGCAGAAGTCAGCCACTGCAGCAGTGGGGTGGGAGGGATGTGGGGACATGGATGTGGATGGAGGGTGGTTTGGAATGAGTGCATTCCGGGAGTGTTTGCTGAGCCGGATAATAACGCGCCCAGTGAGCTGCATCCCAAGCACGCTGCCAAATTAAAGAATTTTTTTTCCCCTTTAATTTAAAAGTCACCGCTGGGAAATCTCCACCGGCCTCGCCAGCTACTTCCCCCAGGCTGACATTCGGGAGAAATCCTTAATTTTGATTGTCACACTTTGTGGAGTTTAACTCAGGGAAGCAGAGCCATAAATAAGGTGCCACTGCAGCAGCTCCAGCTGTGCGGGGCTGTGAGCAGTGCTGTGGGGACTGTGGGGGGAGCACAGTGCTGCTTGGCCGTGGCACTCCCAGCACCTCTCTCCTGCACACCCATGCTGCCCGGCCCTGCACACCCAGCGTGATTCCATGGCTTTGCTCTGTTCCATCATATGCTATCCAGCTCCAGGGAGCCCCGTGGCAGAGCTGCCCGTGCCCCACGCAGGGCTCTTCCTCTCCTTGGTGTTGGATGGTTCCCAGCTCCGCCAGCCTTTAGGAAAGAGGAAAAATCCACTCACACCTCCCTGCCAGTGCTGAGTCCCGCGCAGTGCTGAGCTGCAGAAAGGTTACAGCCCATCTGCATTTTACCCTTCAGTAATTTCAACACTTATGGGTGCAATTAAGAGGCAAGTCTGGAGTTATGAAGCCATCAGCGTGGAGAGACCTGAATACTAACAAACTCCTGCGTGCAGTTGCCATCCAGGGCCGCCTGATTTATCCGTGATAAAGTGGCAGTGATGCTGGCGGATGGCATCAGCCACAGCGTGGCTGCGTTAAGCGTGCATTTTTGAGCTGCTCGCTGGCACAGCCTTCCTCCAGCACTGGAGGGGTGGGATTGGTACAGGACTGGCTGCGGGGCTGTGGCATTTGGACACCACACACCTTGACCTGATTGTGGCTGAAGGGAAAAGCGTTGGGATGGGCTGACCCCGCAGCACTGACAGGCTGAGACCCCCCTGTGCCCTCCCTGCAAAACCCCAGGCCCCTGTCCCTCCTGTGCATCATGGCGGACTAGGGGAAGGGCAGGCTTTGCCTTAAAGCTTCATCCTCATTTAATTGGATACCTTTGAGCCCAGGCTCACGATTCCTGCAGCAATTTGGTGTGAGATTTCTTTCTTTCCCTCCATTATCCACTCTGATTAACTCAGCTGCACCTGTCAGCTTTTATTCCACGGTGTGGGGAGTGCTTGAGAGAGCCTGTTAAAATGCATGAGCTTTGGCACACTCACTCTTCCCTGGCCAGTGATACCAAACCAGCACAGGGCAGGCTGGGCTCGGCCCAGAGGGTCACAGCCCTACACCCCCCACCCCACAGAGCCCCCACCTCACCCCAGAGCTGCTCAGCGCCAGTGGATTTTCTGCTTTGCAAATGCTAATTTAACATTCCAGTTATGACTTGTTCTTTTTTGTCTCATTTTAATAAAAACGAAAACATCCGGAAATGCCGCTGCACCCAAGAAAGAGCAAGATCTGACATAATTAAAAAGTGGCTTCAATCAGGCTGTTTTCCTAATGGTTTGTCATATCAACCCACGCCGCCCCGAACCCCCCTGCACTCCCAACCCCCTGAGGCATCATTTACATTTCTTAATAACCCCTCATTAATATGCATGATGTGGGGAGGGCAATAACGGCTGAGCGCACACCACTAATTCAATTTCAGCAAGCCTCCGTGTGTTTAGTTAATCACCGGGGGACCAGGGTTACTCAGTACAATTATTTATTCGGAATTAGATCTGGAGGCATCTGGATTGAAAGCCAAACCAGGAATCAAACGAAGAAAGGGATTCTCTCTGCAGTGCCATGGGGCCACGGGGCCGAGATCCCTGGCTGAGGGGTGCAGCACAGCCCTCCTGAAGCTCTGGGCGCTGGACCAGCTCCATGCCCTGTGCCAAGGGCTTCTGTTCCTGTCTGTCCTTTCGTTTATCGGAGTTGGTTGGGTGTTTTTTGTTGTTGTTGTATTTTCTCGCTTCTGGTTTTGCTTTTTAATTCAATATTTTGTCCCTGTGCTCCCGCTGCCCCTGCTGGATGAAAACACTGTGTTATTGAATCCTGCCCTGCAGCAGCTCAGTGAGAATTGGGTTTCCTGGGCTGCACTAAGGCTGAGTTGGAGCTGAGACGGGAGCACATCCACGAGGAGCCGGCAGCAGCCGAAGGCTGTTCCAGTGGCAGCTGCATCGCACGGCCCTGCGCTGTGCTCACTGCCAGCCCCTGTGACCTCTGCTGCTGCTCCTCAGAGCCCCCCAGAGCCCTCAGCCATTTTCCCAGCGCTCGGTGTAGGGAAACCAATGAGCCAACAATTATCTGCTATTTATCTCAACCCCAAAGCACAGATTTGTGGCTGTAATTTCGCAGGCCGGCAGCTCCAGTACTTCTCGCTGTCGGCGGGGCGCTGGGCCCTTCTCACACGTGATGGATGTCTTTAATTCCTCCCCGCGCCCTCCCGCCGAGCTAACGCCGCCACCGCAGCCGCCGTTGGGCCACGAATAACGATTTTTGTTCAAAGGCGCTCAGGCGCAGCTGAAAAACATTCCGTGAGCTTTGTGCCGAGCTGAGCCGCCCCCCGCCCCTGTATCAGTCGCACCACCAGCCCGCCCCGGATCCCGCAGGTGTTGGGGCAGCGCTTTGCGACGAGGCGGCGGTTTGCGACTCGCTTTCCGGCAGCGCTCGCTACGCCTCGCTTTCCGGCAGAGTGGCGCCCTAGCGGTGCGCCTGCGCCACTCGCTTTACGGCACAGTGTCGCGCTCTGTCGGTGGTTGGCGACAGTTTGGCGGCGGCGGGGCCCGGTCGGCGCTATGGACGTCGGGGAGCTGCTGAGCTACCAGGTGCGGCGGGCGGGGCGGGATGGCACCGGGGAGGCCCCGACCCCGCTGACACTGAGCTGCGGCTGCCGCTCCGGCTGCCTCGGGGCCGGGACCGGGCGGGGTGGAGCTGCGTGGCGGTGCGGCTGCTCCCCGGCTGGCTGCGCTCTCTTTGAAGGCCTCGCAGTGTGCGCGGCGCTGCGCCTGCTTTGCTCGGCTGCTGCTGTAGCTTTAGAGCGTGGTATTTTGGGAGGAAAAAGGTGAAACTGCGTTTAGGTCTGAGAAACTTTCCCCTCTCTTTTCTTTCTCCGTGATATCGTAATGACTTTATCTGAGAACTCCACCAGATTTCCACTTGTGTCAGCTCCAGGACGATGTTTTCTTCCTCCCTTAAAGTTTGGGGTTTGCCGTGTCTGCCCTCTGTCTGCACTCTGTCCCTCCTGCTGTGTGCATGCAGTGCTGGCCGTGCTGCCCTGCTCTTCTGAGCTCTGTTCACATTTGGTTTCTGCTTTTTTTTTTCCCGTGCTTTTTAAGTACTAAGTTAGAATGGTCATTTCTTGTGTTCCCGTAAAGGTAAACCTGCATTGAACTTCTGTTCATTATAAATTTTTAATCAAGTTCTAGTTTGGATTTTTCTTGGTTTTCTCTTGCTCTGAAAATATTGAAGTTCTCCGATTTCCAATCTCCTGTGAAGCAAAGTGCATGCTTGTGTTTTGATCTCTTTGGTTTCCCTACAGCTCTGTGTTGGGCTCTTTTCCTGCCCTTAGGTTGCTGCTCATGGCAGCATGGTGCGGGTGCTGTGGAAGCTGGAGGTGGAAATCTGCTTTGTGGATGCCAGGCATTGCAGCAGCAGCAGCTGAGGTTATTCCTTAAATTTCAACTGACATGGCTCTTGGAGGCGTTGTCCTGGCTTTGTGCTCTCCAGATCTCTTCCCAGGACATAAATGATTTTGTGTCAGGAGGTGAGGTGGGGCATTAGAGTAAGAGCTGAACTTCACGTGTCCCCAGATTCAGACATCTGGAATTAGGTGGAAAGGTGAACAGAGGTGAGAGGGGTGGGAAGCAGGAAGCAGTGCAACAGCTCTGTTTCTGGGGAGACACAGTCCCCTTCTGTGGGGTATCTGTGGCTGAAATGTTGGAATGGAAGCGGGGAGTGATGGGTTTTGCCTGCAGCTGCTGTCCCACAGGCAGCACAACAGGGCCGCCCTGCGTACGTCCTCATAAAATTCAGAGCTACCAGAGCTGTGTTGTGCCTGTGTCCATGCTGCTGTGTGGTGGAACGGAGTTGTGTCAGTGACAGAGCTGCTGCTACCAAGGCAAGGCTGAAGGATGGCTCGTGAGGCAGCTGCCACCCTGCTCTGGTTCTGCCTGCATGGAGGTTAACCAGTGCGAGGTCTGATGCTCTCCTCGCATGGAGCAGTGTGCTGCTTTGGGATAGCTTCATCCATCCTCGCTGCAGGGCAGCAGTGGCTGTCAAGGGAGGGCTGGGTGATGATGGCTGCTGTCTGATTTTAATCTTCTGCTGCAAATGAGTTGGTCTTCTCAGCTTCCCTCAGCAAAAAAGCCCGATTTTTATATTGTTTCAAAATTTTCTCCTCTAAACACTTCATCCGTGCCCTTGCTTAATCGGGATGTTCTCCCTCAGTGCCAGATTTGGCATGGAAGATTTCAGGCTCTGTGCTGCCAGCTGGGCACTCGGTGTCTGTCAGAATGAGGAAAGGAACCTCCTGCAGCAAAAAAAAAAAAGGACAAATAAACAGACCCGGCACCTGGCAGCTTACACAAAGCTCAGAAATCCATAAACTTTATGTGTTGCTGCAAAACAGTTGCAGATGGTCTAAACTGATGATTAAATATTGCTGCTGTTCTGCCCGGAAAGACTGTGCCCAGATCCTCCGTGTCTGGTTTCTGATTACAGCGGGTAATTACAGGGACAAAGCCAGCTCTGGTTATTTTCAGGCATCTCTTTCAATTGGCGTGGGAGGGAATAAGGGAGATTATTTCAGTTCTCGTTAAATGCAGATTTCAGCACTGAGTGATGATTACGCACTGCTAATTTTTTAATGAAATATTTGTGAAATGGAAGAACAAAAGGGGAAGCAGTAGCGGGGTGCGATTTGTGCAGCAGGTTTGTCCTGCCGGTGGAACTGGTGGAACACTGCTTGTGGTGGGATGGATCTCAGCGTGTTGGAGGGATACGGTGATTTCAGCTGCTGGCCCAGGCAGTTTGCTGTGGATTTGTGACATAATGGATGTGTCTGATGGCAGAGGCAGCCGAGCTGCTGGCTGCTCTCACTGCGCCTCCCAGCCAGAGCATGATGGCCTCCTGCCTGTGACCCCGTGCTGGTGTTTCTTTGGTGTGGTTCCTGCAGCTGTGTGCAGACCTTTTGCTCTCTTTTCCACCTGTGTCTTTGGCCACCAAACTGGGAAGTGTGGAAAAATCAGCCAAAGAAACCTGGGTGCCTCCCTGCCCTGCTGCTGGGGCTGTGACTGTGTGGCACATCGGGCTCTGGCCTCACAGAGGTGGCTGCAGCTGAGAGCTGAGCTGGGACACAGCACTCTTGTGTTGAGCTTTCGAAGGTGTCCTGGTGGGCAGCTGCAGGGCTGGTAGTTTTAGCAGCTGCTTCTTCTGGATACAGCTTATACTTTGTATCGTAGGATACAGCTTATACTTTGTATACCCCAGTTTTGAGGGTTGCTGATGAACACGTTTGCTCCTATAGAGACTGAGAGGAGGCAGTGAGGGAGCTGTGCAGTGGCCACGTACGTGCTCTTGGCACAGCTCTGGTGCTTTCCATTAGAGTCCCTCTGCAGCTTGTAGTGGCTGCCATCTCTCTCCTCATCCCTTTTTGCGTTAGTTAAGAACAAATAAGCACCTGCAGGACCAGGGATGGTCTTTGTACCCTCCGAACAAACATGCAGCTTTTGGTCACTGTACGTGTTTTTGTTTGTTTCATATTTTCATATGGTAGCTGTAATTTAGAACGAGGAGGTGAAACTTCATGTTTTGTCTTTGTGTCTTTTCCTTATCCGTGTGCTTCTCATAGCAGCACATTGCCTCGGGGACTTGTGTGCCTTACAGTGTGGAAGGGTAGAGAGGGAAGGGATCCATTCTCTTAAATTAGTCAACTGCCCATGCAGGTGCAGCTCTGTTCTTCCTGTCTTTCACTTGGAGTTCTTGGGATTCCTGAGGCTACCACGCTGTCCTGGGTCCAGTTGCCTCAGTCTGTAATGGGTCACCAAGAGGTGCTGTGCTTCGGTGCCAAGTGAGATTGGCAGCAGCCTGGTTGGAAGCAAGATCCAGAAGATGGCTGTGGAGGTGTGAGGTGTGCTTTTGGAGCCCCAGCCCAACAGCTGCGTTGTGCAGCGCTGCTCTGTGTGTGTTGCAGTTGGCTGGCGTGGCCACACAGCAGCTGTGTCACTTATGAAGATTTATTTCAGATTTCATGAACTAATACTTTCAGAGCTTCACGGTAACAAGGTTACTTACGAAGTAAATGCCTCGGTAATATGAAACTCCTTTGGCAAGGTTTCTGCAAAGCTCCCTGGTGCTGAAGGTGAGCTCTAGGGAAGGAGATATTTTATCTCCGTGCGGCCGCTACCCCAAGGAGGGCAAGGCAGCCCCGAGCTGATCCTCACTCTGAGGTTTGGGGCATCTTCACGTGTGCAGCACACGAAGGAGTGCATGTTTGTGCTGCGTGGGCTGGGGAGCCCCGAGTGCGGGTGGTGCAGCACAGACACAGGAGGAGAATTCTGTACCACTGGGCAGCTGTTGTTTCACTGCTTTTGATAAACATCAGCTTTCTTATTAAAAACCTTTTGTATTCGTGTGTGTGTGTGTGGTGATCTCGGTGTTGCATTTAAATGGAAATGTCTTCTGAATAAATTACTGTGAGCGCACTGCATTCAGTAGGAACAAAATTAAGCTTAACTAATAAAGCAATGTAAGAATTGTTTTCTTGTGCGCTTTCCAATGCATTCCAGCTTTGTGCCAAACGCACCTTGGCACAACCGAGTAAAAAAATAATAATAAAATAAAATAAAAAACCCGCTATTTTGTTTATTAAACAATTAACTTTCCCTTTTCGTGCCAGAAAGCTGGAAGTTGGGTGCGTGCAGCTCGGCAGTGATTTAAAGAAATGTGTTTAAGCTCAGCGTGCGCTGCTTAGCAAAGCGCCGCGGTCTGAGCGCAGCTGCGCGTGCTTCATTCCTCTTGGTTGCTAACAGTCCTTTAGGAAGTAGCAGTGCAAAACAAAGCTGAAAATCAATGAGCAGAAGTTTAATGCTTGCCTTAAATCAGCTGCTCGTGGCTGTGCATCTCTGGTGTATCGGGCAGGAACGCAGGTGCTTCACTTCTGCCTTGATTTCTTAGTGTTAATAGCACCGGGTGGAGGAATTGCAGTATTCTCAGTAAGGTTTAGCATAACATCAATAACAAAAGGAAAAACCTTAATGCCTGCTTAATAACGCTTGCCTGGGAATTCAATTACTGTCTATTGCCAGTGTGTTGGCAGCATTAATAATTGCATGCTGGGCACTTCCATAATTTATCATAATGACTTCTGTTATGTGTTATAGAAGATTCCCCCCCCAACAATGCATAAATACAAAAAAGGATAAAAATAATTGAGATTGAAACAGGATGTAAATGCTGCTGCTGTGGATTGTGTACTCAGAGGAAATGGGGTTGGTTTCGTGATGGAGTTTTAATTTAGGTTTTGTTCTGTTGATGTAGTCCCTGCCTGTGGTACATTACTTTGCATCTGACAAAGCACAGCTCCCTTGGTCCCTCATTACTGCTCCGGTCTCATTGGATTTTCCTTTTTTAATGTTTAGAAATGAGAACGAGGAATGATTTTCTGGAGCTTTAACTGAGGAACATGGAAGGCGAATGTTGCAGGGCTTCCTCCTGTGACTGCCAGCACTTTGTGAGCCTTTGGATTCATCTCTGGTTTGATCCCAGCTCTGGTTTGATTTAAAAGCTGGCCTTGCACTCGTGTGAGTTTGCTGTGACTGCAGTGGGTCAGACAGAGACCCCCAGCAGAGGGTTGGTATTTCTGCAGATGGCGCCTTAGGCAATAGGTTGGACAAATGTTAGGCCTGAGAAAATAAGAAACCATCTTCCAGGCAACTTGAGTGGCTGACAGAAAGTGTGAACGTGTTTGCATTCTGCTTTCAATGCTCTTAATGCACATGCTGCTGTTAAATAGTAATGAGTTAAATTCTGTTTTCCTGTAGCTACAGAGCATAAAGTACTTGGTTGTCCTTCAGAAAGAGTGAGCAAGACCAAATGTAATATCCTTATCGTTTTTGGAGAGTTTTTCCTTCTGTTGCAAATACTTTCATCCCCTCTAGTCTAAATTAAAACATGGGATTAGGGTTAATGGATGTTTTCTTGTCCTTGGCAAATTATGTTTAATTTTGCCAATTAAATGGAAATTGTAGAATAAAATGATAGGTTGTTCCAAATAAACCACTGCTTATTCTGGTGCCAGAGCCCTGCAGAGTTGCAGCAAGCAACAGTGCTGCCATCCTGCCTTCCATAAACTGGGCTTTGATCTCCACACAGCACTCGCAAACTTCAGGCAAAGGGATGGGGAAAATCAAGGGCAGTTAAGCTGCACGCCAGCATTCTCCATGAGCTCATGGAGTAGGTGGGTAAGAAGGTTATACTTCCCTCCTGTGTGCTTAAGCATGGCACTGTGCTGTCCCTCAGAAGCTCTCTGCTGTCCCAGCTGATTCTGGAGCCTTCAGGCTGCCCAGCCACAGAGCGGTGCGTGTTGGCACTTCTCATCTGTAAGTACCAGGCTGTTCCCTATGGAGATGTTTTCCCACGAATCACGTTCATAGATCAAACGAGGCAGGGTGTTGACACAGCTCTTGGCAGAGCCATCCATCTCGTCTTATGATGTTCCCCTTAACTAAATTCGTTTCCTTTCTGGTTTTCAGAGTTTGGCATTGTGTAAGGAAGTGCTTTGAGCGACTTGTCCGAATTTCCTCAGCACGCCTGGTTGTGTTGGTGCTGCGGTTTGTGAGGGTCACAGGAGGGCTGTGCTCACGTTGTTTCTCTGACTGCAGCCCAACCGAGGGACGAAGCGGCCCCGTGACGAAGAGGAGGAAGAAATCAAAGCACGTCGGAAACAAGTGAGCGCACGGGAGCATGGGCGTCACAGGGAAGAGGAGTCTGCTGTGCAGGAGGAGACCGATGACGAGAAGAAGAAACTGCTTCAGATAATCGAAAGGGATGGAGAAGAGGAGGACGAGGAGGTAAATCGTGGGTGTTGTGTGGGAAATGAGCAAAAACTGAGCTGCTTCCCTGAGATGTCATTTCGTGCCGCGTGGATGATGAGGCTGGCTGGGCACGTGCCCACTGAGGTGGGGTTATTCCTTCAATGTAAGGATATCTTCTTAAAGGGAGGGGAGTGGGAGGGGAGAGAGCAAAGATTTCAGGCTGTTTTAGGTGAGGAAGTGTGAATTACTTTTTAAATTGTATTTTTAGAAAACTATACAGAATCCAGAAAATATTTTCTAACTCTTATTCTCATCAGTACTCTCAAGCATGCAGCTGCTCCCCGTCTCCTTCTGTTTCTAACTGTGCAGCAGCTGCAAATAAACATTCTTCTATACAAGAAAGGTCTTGGGTCAGCGGAGGGGGGTAGCAGCTGTCAAGAGCAAATGACTTCAAGCCTTGGAGACAGAAATCCAATGCAGCACTGGCCTTTCTGCCAAGGGCCAGGGAAGAGATCACTATAAGCGTGACACATGGATTGGTAGAATCGAAAAGATGTTCCCTGTCTGTGTCCTGTTTGATTTTATATTTTTAATTTGAAATAAATACGCTGCTGCAGAATCTTGTAGGTCTGTATAACATCACCCTCCTTTGCGAATGGTGTTGCTAGCATTCATGTCTGAAAATCTCCCTTGTGTTTCTGGTATTGAGCTATTGCCATAGCAGTTAGCTGCTGGTAGTTGGTAGCTGAGGAAGATAATGCTGGATTTCTGTAGCATCTGAGCTCCAGGATGAATGGCTGCAGGCAGAAGCCCTGCTGAGCAGCTCGAGTCGTGTGGATTCCTGCACTGTGTGAGTCTTTGTCAGGTGCAGCTCTCCCACCCAGCCATTGGAAGGGCTGGGAGTCCAGTGTTCCTTTAGAACTCCCATCTCTTTCCTATTATCTTGGAACACAGTTAATCCAAGCGCCATCAAAAGGCTCTTTGTGTCAGTAAATGTGATGGAGGCAAACTAATCTGTAGGGCACCGTAATATGGCACGCATGAAAAGCTGATTCTAATGGAGACATTACAGTAATACGTGTAAGAGGAAGCAGAGTCAAATGAAATAAAGGGAAGCAATGTCAGCACCTGTGATAGTGCTGTTGTGGATTGAAATTGTACCGTTGGGGGAAGAACATGGTTTGGGTGTCGCAGTATTGTTAGCAGAATGGGGGGGTGGCATAACTCTGAAGGGCTGTGGCAGGTTGGACTTGAGGCAGTAGAAAATCCAGTAATAGTGGAAGACTTTAACTATCTTCCCATGGACTGCTGTTGTTATTGTAATGGAGTTTGAAATTGAAATTCTTTATCTGCTTTAAGATTGTTGCTTCAAGTCATTCCACGCGGAATCCTTAAAACCAGGAGCGAGACTTGATTGAACCATGAGCAGGATATAAAGCGTGGTGGAAGGGCTGTGGAGGCCTGCTTTGTTTCGTTTTGAGAACTTTTCTGTAGTAGTGATGGTGATAAAAGAAGTGCCTTAAAATCAGGAAACGAGGAAAATAACAGGATTGTATTTATGGGTAACAGGTAGGGAGCTAAAGATGTACCGCTGGTGTCACACTGCCAATTGAGAAATGCTTTAGAAGACTTTCTGAAATGAAAGGGAAGTAGTAGAGTAAAATATTGATTTTTTTTTAATTTTTTTTTAATTTTTTATTTTTTTTTCCCTTTTGAAAAAGACTTTAAAATAGAAGTGAAGGCTTATCCAAGTGAGAAAAATACAGAAGAACATAAACTCAGGGCAGTTAAATGTGGATCTGTGGAAAGACATGGTGCAATGAACTTCTGGAAAGAAATTGCCCATGGGCTTAAGATGCTAATGTAAATTTACTATGTTCTATCAGAAGCAGAAAGCTTCACTGGGGCTGATGGTGCCAGATAGGGCCATTGCAGATGGCTGTTTTTCTCCCTGATGCTTCATTTCAGGCGGCACGGTCTCACTGCTGTGGGCACCTCTTGAAGGTCACCTTGCTAAGCTCTGTCTTCTGCCCTTTCCAATTTGGTTAGGAGGAACCTCTGGATGAAAGCTCGGTGAAAAAGATGATTCTCACCTTTGAGAAGAGATCTTACAAAAACCAGGAGCTGCGGATCAAGTTTCCTGACAATCCGGAGAAGTAAGATTGCGCTTGGTCCCTCTGTGCCACAGCTGAGCCTTGCTTTTTCTTCCAGCCCTAAACTGACTTCTTGACACTTAACTGTCTTCAGTTACGTGAGACTTATGTAACAACAGTCCTTGCCATTTAGTTCTCAGAAACTGCATTTGAAACTAATTTTGTTAATTAAAAATGACGTTATTGAGACTTCTGATGGAGACCCGTAGACGGTGGGGGAAAATTTTCAACTCTGACATGAAAAAAGTAATTTGCAACCAAGGGGAATGTTCTGATTTATGAAATTCTTGCTGTTTGTACAAAAGACTGTGACATTAAAACTCTAGTTCATGTTGCTTTCATTTTGGGAGCACAGAAATGAAACGAGGTTTCATGATTTCCCTTTTAGATATCTAAAGAAGTCGCTTTGTTTTCGAAAGCGTAGCTTTGGGCTGACTGAGGCTTATGGGGGATCTTATGAGAGGCTGCTGCTCTCTTTTTGGAGGAGGGCTGTGTCTGTGGAGCACAAACGATGTGCTTTTCTTGTCTTGCCTCAGGTTCATGGAATCTGAACTGGATTTAAATGACATCATTCAGGAGATGCACGTGATTGCCACGATGCCGGACCTGTACCACCTGCTGGTGGAGCTGAATGCAGTGCAGTCTCTCCTCGGGCTGCTTGGTCACGACAACACAGATATCCTCCAGTGGTTAAAGCCACTCTCCTGCCAGAGGCTTTCTGCACTTCTCTGTAATCTCTTATAGCCTGCTTTCACAGGCTGCTGCTGTGTTTTTTCTTTTCCGCTGCACTGAATTTATGCCTTCTTTTTTATTTTCCAAACGAGGCCTTCTTTGTTCAAGTAATATTGATTCTGATTTTTTTTTTTCCCCAGTGTTTTTGTTCTCCTTTCTTGTTTTATGAACCTTTTGCCTAAGTTTGAGTGGCTGTGCTAGGGTATGAACAGACCAATGGTGTAGCTGAAGCAACGCAGCAAAACAACACAGCAAAAACTGAAGCATGGGCTTAACAGCATATAACCTTGAACTGTGTGCAGCCTTTGTCTGGAACAATCCCTAGTAAAAATGAGACTAATTTACCCGTTTTTATAGAGGGCTGAGCTCATGCTTTCAGCTCTTTGCCGTGGACTGTCTCACCACAGTGCTGCACCCTGATTTATACATGTGAAAAGTCTTTCATGTGCCCCTAGCTTTGGTGTGATGTTCTCAAAGCTGGAATTTGTGGTCCTCTGATGGTGTAAATATCAATGGCAGTTCCACGAGCAGTTATTGCTTGTGTCACTGAACCTCACCCCTGTGTGTCCTCTGAGAATGTCTGAGAATTTTCACTCTATACAGTTGAAGTCTTAGTAGTCTGGTATTAAAAACTGTTGTTTTCTGAATATCCTTGTGCCTTCGTGCTCAGCCTTCAGCTGATAAATAGAACTGTGCTTTGCCTACCATTGTGCAGCCTTTTAAATAGGGCTCAATCTGCATTGCTTGTAAAACGCTCTACGGTAGATTGAACTGAAATGTTGTGACATGATTTAGGAGGTCTTGTGTTGACAAACGTTGGTGAATGGAAGGAGCGCTGAAGCTGAGTGGGAAGGGCACTGGACTTTGACTGGGGACCACAGGAGGTTTGTGTTTTTTCTTTTTGTTGTTCATGGCCTTGGGAAAGTCATTAATTCTTGGCTTTTCTTTATCTGTAAGGAAGTGGACAGTACTCATCAGTCTTTGTGAGGCGTTTTGAAATACGCAATTTTAAAAGGACCGTTAAGAAGAAAATGTTGTGGTCTGAGATGTGGGTTCTTTTTTTTTTTTCCTTGTAGTACTACATAGTGAAAAGTCATAATTCATTCCTTCTGAGTGGGTGCAATGATCAGAATGTAAAAACAGAACATCAGTGTTTTTTTGCATATCCATTAGAGAACACCGTTTCCATTAGAAAGCACATCGGAGTTTTTAAATCTTTTTCTGTGTTTGGCTGTGTTATCTTGTGTCTGGCTTAACCTTGACCTGGTAGAGTACTGGTGCCTGCCAAGCAGCACCCACCACTGCTTTCCTTATCTGCCATCTGTAATGAGAGTTACTTCCAATTAAATGGTTGTTAACAATTTACTGTGTACAGTAGGAGACGCCTACCATGCGCAACCAGTTCCATGGTCACCATAGTTTAATTGCTTTTTGTTTTTTTTGCCAGAACCAGAGTCTTTTGGAGTACTGTGTATAGCATGCTATCCTAAATTTCTTGTTCACATGGCAGTGATTGTAGCTGGGATGCACAGAAGCACAGTTTTTGTCCCCTCAGCCATGAAAAGCTGTCCTAAAGTCACAGCTGCAGGTGAGGACTTGTCAGTTTTGCCATTGAATTTTTTAAATGGATTTGCAAGTTGCCTGTCAGTTAATGGAGAGGTAGGAATTTGCCCTGTGGTTAGCAATTTTAGGAGGAAAAGGGATTGATGAACTTCACGAGGTCCCTAATGGCCCGTTTCTCCAGCTTTTGTTGCTTAGAAGTTGATTCCTTGCAGCATAAATGCAAGGCAGTTTATTTTCACACAACCTGCTTATTGAGACATGCTTTAGCTTGCTTTCAAAACTTATTCTCAGCCACTTCTGAGCGTGTTTTTGTGTAAGTGCAGGTGACTGCCTGCCCAGTAAGTCACAGCCACCCTCTGTTTGGTTCCTGATGGCAGCTGCAACTGAAAGCGGCATCTTCCTATCATGAAAATGTCCAGATAGCTCTGGCTTGTGTGAGGATTGCTGTAGAGTATGATGAGAGCAGTAATTGTACTGGTAAGCATCTTCAGCAGTGCCCAACACAGGCTAGCTTGGGAGTGGGACAGGCAGCTCTCCTACAGTCTTTCCTGGTAAGTCACAACTGTAACGTTGCTGCAAAAGATGTTTTAAAATACTCTTCCTGTCACTGCGTGTGTGCCTGAGCAAATGCACAAACGGGAGAACTGGGAGGCTGGGTTGTTAGCCTATGAATTTTAAAGAGATTCATCACAAAGTTGTTATATAGGACATGTGGAAAACTGCATACCCTGTTCTGCCCTAGTGGGAATCGGGCAAGATTGATCGGAGTGTCTGAGAGAATAGGAAAGTGGATCTAATGAGGTGGAATACGTCTCCTAGTACCAGAGAGCTGTGTAGCAGTCAGGGGAGCCATGTGTTATGCAGTCCAGTGTTAATGAGTGAAAATTGGGCTGGCAGAAGCTCTGCTGCTCCTGAGAGGTACATGGTTGGAGGAGCGTGCTGTCCTAATTGGGCCAGCCAGAAGGGGGTTGGTGCTTCTGTTCGTGCTATGGCCTTGTTAGGTGTCTGCTGATCGGGTTAGCTGGGTAGCACTGAAAGCACTGTACCCTAATCAGGTTATTGCAATGCCTTTCTTTTGGGTTGTGCTCAATCTCAGAGTGCATAGTTAAGCCAACTATAGAAGTTTTGACTGAAAAATATAAAAAAAATTTAGTGCTATCAAGTACAGCAAAATATCCTGGCACAGGATGCACACAGTTACGTTCATTTTCATCATTTCTAGTTGTTAGATTCCCCCATTCTGGTGTTCTGGTGTTCCTGTGCCCCACCTATATAATGATTTAACTGTACTGTGTCATGTCATGAGCTCACTGGCCTAAAAGCAATGTGGTTTTTTTTGTTTTTTTTTTTTTTAATATTGAATGTGTTTGCTGTGTTGATTGTCCTTAACATCTAGCACATGTTTCCATAGCTGTGGTAGACTTGCTCCAAGAGCTGACTGATATAGATACTCTCCATGAGAGTGAAGAAGGAGCTGAAGTCCTCATAGATGCTCTGGTAAGTAGTGAACTCCACGTTATTTTAATGACTGAGCAGTGAATCCTTTGAGCTGCCACGCTTGCCATGGCTGTGCATACACAGTGCCAGCACCGTGCTGAAGTTACCTGGCTCAGGTGTGTGTTCAGGCCTAGTTGTAGTTGAGCTGGAACATGTCACTATGTTGAGGTTCTGCTTTTTTCTTAACAGGAAGTAAAAGGCTTGGAAGTTTCCATGTAACAGAACTAATGCATTTTAAGGGTGGCAGAGGTTTTACAGTCCCTGTGCTGTAGGGATGAGGTGACCCCAGAAAATGATGTACGTGTAATGGAGGATGCATTGCTTGGTCTTAAGAGAGTTTACCAGGCAGAGAGCATCCGAGCACCTTGTATTGTGCTGATGGGCTTCCCTGCAGCTTGGTGTTCTGCTGGTTGCCTCCTGTCCCTCGGCAGGGGGAGGGGGATGCCAGGCTGAGAGAAGCAATGCCCAGCAAAGATTGAAGGCAGAACAGACATGGAGATCTCAGGCAGCTGTTGGTGAATTGCTGCAATTGTTAAACCTTGTGACTCTGTCTTGTTCTGTAACTGTTAGGTTGAAATTGAAAGACAGGAAATCATTGTTTTCTTCTGATTGTTTTGTTTGGTGACTGTGTTTTCTCCTGCAGCCCCTCTTGTCCAGTCACTGCTACTTCCAGAGGTTAATGACATTGGCCTGGAGCTGGGTCCCTCCAGCTGGCTCTGGGCTGTTCTTAATTATTCTGCCTTTGTGGAAAGGTTTCAGGGTGAATGAAATGGCAGAGAGGAGCTGGTATAGGAGGTGTTTTCTGTAAAATGTGTGGGGAGAGAGTAAATGAAGCAGAGTTCTTTCTCTGTTTGCCTTGTTGCCAGCCCACAGGTAATGGCCAAGTTTTAGTTGTTTTATTGTTCTCCCTGAAAGAAGCAGGTCAGGCATCTCTTGGGAGAAATGTTTAGATATCTACTTTTTAGATTACGTTTTTTAGTTTTAGTTCTAATGTTTTAGGGTACTTTGTATTTTTTTTCCATGGTTTCACTGAACACAAAACCAGTTCAGTGCTTTGAATTGCAAATGTTACTTTGTCTAACTTTTCCCAGCTCGCATCCACAATGGGAAGATAGCCAAAGTCAATCTGGCCTCTGTCCAATTGCAGCTGTAAGTGCAGACTGCTTGTGGTGAGGGGCTGCAACCCCAGCTGCAGGCGTGGGTTTCTGCTCCTGTTCTGCTGTCAGGGTTTCCTTAACTCTCTGAAGTCAGCTTGGTGCGTTCATCTGAGCAGGATTTAAATGTCAGGCTTCAGCTGGCGATCGTTCATCTTTCACATTTGAATCTCCATGTGTGAGCATTGTTCCTTCAGCTTTTTATGCCCAGGAAGGTGGAGATGTAACAAAGTGCAGGCAGACCAGCTGCACGCTGCCGAAGGTGGAGTTGCTCATGGAGCTGACAGCTAGAATGTGGTGGTTTGTGGTGCCTGAAGAATTCTGTGGGATTATGAATCAATTAGGGCTGATGCAGGAAATAAGGCTGACAGGGTTCATGTTTTCCCTCCAGATGTTTTTCTGTTTAATCTGAAACGTAAAACCTGTTTAATTAATTAGGACAAACATGGTGTCAGACTTACTTGGCGAATCCTTTTGCTACCTTTGAGATTTTAGAGCAGGATTGTTAATGTCACCTGATCAGAATCACGTCTGGCAGGATGTTTCAGCAGGGCTTATTGATATTTATTTGTCTAATAGGCCTTCCTTTGTCATCTTCCCTTTTTCACTTTGCTCTCCTGTTTTTTATCTTGCCTGGGACCATGGCAATGTAGGTGGAGGGTCAGGTCGTGGCCTTGTTGGTGCAGAATTTAGAGCGCCTGGATGAAAGTGTGAAGGAGGAAGCTGATGGTGTCCACAACACTCTTGGTAAGCGGCTGTTGCACAGCCTCTCTCTTCTTTGTGTTTTGTACAAAGGGGGGTGGGTTATCCCTCCCCTTTCTTTCCTTCTCACATGCTTTGCCCTTGAGCTGCCAGCACTGAGGTGGAGAACCTGTGGTGAATTTCTTCCAAGCACAATTGTAAATTGCAGTAAAGTGTAATCTTTTCAGCTAACATTTGTTGCGTGTGTGCTGGTGGGATGCCTCTTCCCAAAGCTGTTATGTTAGCGTGCTGATACACAGATAGATTTCTGTGCCTTGTGCTGACCTTGTATTTCCTCCGTGCTTGTATGTGAGCTCTGCTTACTCAGTTGAGAGCTGTATGTGTCTTAGCAATGTATTTGACTTTTAGATGATAAAACTTTTTGTAATTCATACAAGTACATCGTTACCCCTCTGTTCACCAGCCTTTGCACAGCACAATAATTGTTTTGCAGTGTGTTCCTGTTGTTAGCAGGCCAGCATCCACACCTTCCAGTCATTCAGGACTGGAATCCCTCTGGTTCCTTGCTGTTGCTGGGAACTGGAAGAATGCATTAGGGACTGGAAGCAAGGGGCTTGCACTTGTGTTCCTGCATAGCAGCAGCAGTAAAATCTTGTTAAAATTGTTCTCTGCAATGAGAATTGCTCCTTCAGTAAAGGGAGGGTATCTCAAGCATTTTCCAGCAGGAGCTGGTGTCGTGTCATCTGAAGGTGGACTGTGTTGGCAGTGTAAAAACTGAAACAGTATTATTTACCTGGGCTGACGTCTCGCTCAAAAAAGATGATTTTGCAAATATGCTATTTTGACAAGAGCAGGAAGAGCCTGCCAAAGCTGTGTTGATAAAGGTCTGAGCTGATATGCAGGCGGGGGGAAAAAATGGATGTTTTCTGTGCCTTTCTTCTTAGCAATCGTTGAGAACATGGCAGAGTTCCGACCAGAGATGTGCACAGAAGCTGCGCAGCAGGGCCTCATGCAGTGGCTGCTCAAGAGGCTGAAGGTGAGCTTATTTTCTTGTTGTCACTTGAGAGACGCACAATGAAAACTGACAAGCCACTGGACCGGGAGCTGATGTGCTGGAGGAGGTGTTTGGCATAATATTAGAAGCCTGGGAGGTTACTGGCTCTTTCAGTTTATACAGGGTATCTTTGTGACAAGTTCTAACGTCTGTGAATATGGCGAATTCAGAACTCTCCTCCAGCTGTAAAGTAGGTTGCATTTGACTTTGCATTTACGTGTTGATATTTTTAGCAGTGAGTTACACAGTTGAACTCTGTCTTTTGGGAAGAGGCACCTAAACATTCCATAGAAAGATGTAGGAAAGGAATTGATAGTTTAACTCTCTTGCAGAGCTAGTGAAGAAAAGACAGCAAATAGATTCTGAGCCTTCTCCGAATTCTGCTAGCAAGGCAGTAGTACCTCCACATTTATATGTCTGTACAGCTAGTGTGCCCCCTCTGTATCGCAGAAATACAGCTTTGTGGTCATGCATAGACTCCTCTGTGCCCCTCATATACTTGTTAGCAGGAGTAACCCACAATTTCTCACTACAGGTAGTAACATAATTATATTCCTTCTGCTTAAATACAAAAGGCAAAGTTAATTTTATTCCAGGCAGGTATGTACTGAGTGCAGGTCTGCTGCCTGCCTTATAATTACTCTTGCGGCTGAAAGACTTAGAAACTTGGGAAAGCAAAATAATCACAATTTGGATTCCCCTGCTTGTTGCACCAGAACATGAATGTTAAAGGCTTGCGAAACTCGGCGCTGAATGCGTGCGTTCCCTTCGCCCTGGCATGTGTTAACTCCCTCTGGGCTCAGGGAAGTGTGATCAGGCAGCGCTTTTTTGTGCTTACAAGCTGTCGTTGTGGGGAGATGCATGCTAATAAAACCCTTGCCCAGAAGCCTTTGCTGTTGGCAGTGTTGGTCCTGAATCTCTCGCCCTGACAGATGTGTTGAGGATGAAAGCGGTATCTCAGCATCTGGGCAGAGCACCGTGCGGCTGAAGGCCATCTTAGGGCGACTCTTAAAATGAAGGCTCTGTCTGGAGGTTGATGAGGACATCTGGCACACGGCGCAGGGTGTGAATTTCTGTTTGCTGACAACATTTCGAGTTGCACAATTGTATTCTGACGGTCGGAATTGCTTCGGAAAGCTCAGGTGCAGGGCGCAGTAGCTCGCTTCTCCAAACACGAGCAGGGCTTGGTGGTGCTTTGTGCAGCCTGGAAAGAACGGGACGTTATTTCCTAATGCTTGTTGTGTGGCAGCGGTTGGTGTGTGCTGTAATGGGAGCTGGTGGCCACCGAGTGCCTGCTGCAATGCCCGACCTGTGCCAGCAGCTGCTTGGAGGCGCCGCGTGGTTGCTATAAACACCATCAGCCGTGGTGTGATTAGGGCTTGTTTCAATGGAAAGCTTTATTTAAAGTCAATACTTGTGACACTTGGGATCCTCCTGCTTCTCACGTTTCCTGTTGCAGGCATTTGGATCGTGCCTTTTCTTTTGGTTGCAGGCTGAGATAATTGCCCATGGTCGCCCCGTGCAGCCAGGGTTACTCAATCAAGCTGCAGGTAGTTGTGTGCTGGAGGGAAAAATTGTGGGTGACAAATGTGGGTAAGCCTTGCACTCAGTACTTTGTACCTTTTTTTTCTGGAACAGTGAATCCAAATGGCCAGTTACTGGCAATTTTTAGAAGGCATTTTTAGTTTTTAAATTTTATAGTAGCAGCAAACCAGTAGCAATCATGAGCTGATTGACTAAAGATCAGTCTCCTTCTGTAGATGAAGCATCTTGGGCAGCACACAAGAACACTGGCTCCTGTTCAGAGTCCCATTTCAGGGATTTTTACTTTTTCTTCTGGGAGAAGCAATAATCACTGTTTTTTCATTTGCTTTTTTTTCCTTTTGATGTATTTGCATATGGAGGGGACGTATGAAATGGACATTGTGACTGTGCAGCCTAAACCCAACTATGATATTTGGTTTTCGTATCCAAGTGGCAGCTCCTGTTTAACATTACTGTGACGTTTTCTCTTGGTGGCAGGTGCAGACATCAGAATAGGGATAAGCCATATGCACAACATGGAAGTCTTATCACAGGAGGGAGCCTCTGTGGTGCCCACAACTGGAGAATGTTCTGAGGTTTTTTTGAGCCAACTCAGACAAAGCTAATGATGTAGGATGGTGTGAAGGATTGGAGGTGACTTTCTACATATGCACGCAGCCTGCTGCTCCCGAATCAGAACGGCTCGTTACTGTTTTGCTGTTGGTTCTTACTGCAAAATTACTGCTGTCATGTTTTGCTTTAGCATTGCTTATACACTCAGTGATTTGCCTGGTGCATTCCCCAGTTCAGTGGAACACAGAGCAGTCCCTGAGGAGTCTTTTGTTCACTCTTCCCCCAACAGGCTAAGATGCCCTTTGATGCCAACAAGCTGTACTGCAGTGAGGTGCTGGCTATTTTGCTCCAGAATAATGACGGTGAGAGCTGCCTCTGGCATTGATGTGCTTTTAGGATGGGCCCTGGGCTGGTTTCAGATCACGGCAGCATCCTTTTGCCTTTGGCTTCCCTTTGCTTGTGCTATCACTCCCATGCGTGCTTTTGTGTGCGCATGCGCCCACCATTTCTCTGCAGCTTTTGTACTCTGTCAAGCCGTATCGATTTTGTTTGCTGATGTATCAGTGTTAGATGGCAGTAAAATCTGACAGTTAGCTTCATTTTTCTCTGTTTTCTCCCTTCCCCCACTCCCGTCTAGACAACAGAGAATTGCTCGGGGAGCTGGATGGGATCGATGTGCTGCTTCAGCAGTTATCTGTGAGTAATCCTCCCTGCTGCCAGGAGACCTGCAGGCTGGGGCTGGGCAGGTGGCACAGAGCTGGAGTGCAGGGCTGTCCCAGCAGTCTGTGGGTACCAAAATGGGGGAGCACGTTATCTTAGTGGTGACACAATTCCTGAGTAACTGCCAAATAAATGTAGTGTCTATGGTAAGTGGAGGCAATCTCTGTTTCAAAGGCATTAATGTGGAATTACATAGAAGTTAAATTATTTTGTTGCAGCTGTGAGGAGAGTGGGAGGGATGGCTCAAGTTTGCTCATCTTGAGCACTCCAAGTGCATTGCTTCTGGCACTGAGCTAGCTGAAGGTAACATGTTCTTAGTTTGCTTACATTTCTTAATCAGGCAGTAGCACTGTTGGTGGGGCAGGGTGCTGCAGAGCAGATCCTTCGGGTATGCATTAGCCTGGGAGTTCTCTTGTAACAAGCTTATCCACATAGTTTTGTAAATTATGTTCTCAGTGAGTCTGTGTTTCTCTTCAGAGGCCGTGCATCATCTTTCAAGTCATGCATTAGGCTGCTGCTCATTTGTTGGTATACAGTCAGGACAGCAAAAAGGGCATTGGAGCTACAAGAGAGTGCATCAGTCAGGTGTATGGTTGCTGTTTGGATGACTGCAGGCTTATGCATGTCAGATGCTTAAAACTCTGCAACAGTGTGGGTCAAACTGAGCCCTGCACTGTGATGAAATCATTTTCTTTGTCGTGCAGGTGTTTAAACGACATAACCCCAGTACAGCAGAAGAACAGGAAATGATGGAGAACCTGTTTGACTCTCTTTGTTCCTGCCTGATGCTCAGTTCCAACCGGGATCGGTTCCTAAAAGGCGAGGGTCTGCAGCTGATGAATCTCATGCTTAGGTACTGTGTCACTTGGTGATTTATTTTTTTGCCTGCTTTTGACCCACCACCATGTGCTCTAGCAAGATACTTGTACTTTTCTGTTTATAAAATTTGTGTTTTAGTGTGCTTGACTTCCAGCACGTTACTTGTACCTCCTCGGAGATGCAAACTCTACTTTCTAAATTTTCATAAGAAGTGGATTTAATAGCTGCTGTGAGCTACAGGTCTGCGGCAGACACCCAGATGAGAGAATGTTATGCATTAGGCCACTAATGCTGTCAGGATTCAAGACCTTTGTAAGGTAACAGAGAACCTTTGGATGTCTGTAGGAGGAATGTTTTTTTCCTTTTGTTCCCTGGTTCAGGTTTCACTGTGTTGTTTGTCATCCAAGCTGAGAAGTTCTTGTGGACATTGATACAAAAATTGCTTTTGTGAAATAGGCATAAATATTCATTTCTTCTTGTGGTGTGTTTTGTCACACCTTGAATCCCTAGAGTTCTGTGCTGTGTCAACTTTTGCTTCCTAGCCTGCATCTGTGTCTTCTGAGCCGAGACTTCTCAGGACTGGGCACAGCAGGGCTCTGTCTCGCTTTCCTCAGTGTGCTGAGCTGCATGCAGTGGCTGGTTAGCAAACACCAATGAGAAGTGATGTATTCCTGCAGTGCATGGCTGGGTAATGTGCAGCAGCAGGGAGCTGAATAAATAACCAAGTGTGGATTATTCAAATAGGAACACTGAGTTTTCCTGAGGCTAATTAAAGAAAAGCTCCAAAACTAAGGATGAGAGGGAAGCCTCCCTCTGCCTCAAGTACTAAGCTGCTGAGCTAGCCTTGCAGAACTAATTACTTGGAGTTCTCGTGCCATGTGGGTGGGACTCCACATTTGGAAAAACTCATCTAGACAGAGCAGTGCCTAGCAGGACATGCTGAGCTTCTTGCTCCTAATGGTGTTTTTTAGACTGGAGTTGAAAGTGTTAATCTGGTACTTTTGTTGCTGATTCAGACAAAGAACTGATGCTGCGGGCGTTCGGTGTGCACTTGTGTTTTTTCTTACATGTTTGGTGTCTGCTGGTCATTAAGATGACAGTTGATTCTGTTAATTTCTGTCGCTGGCTGTCTGTGTGCTGCACAGTGCTCCCATTTCCTTGGACATTGTGGCCGTGGAGCCTGCAGGCTACTTTGTACGTACAGAGAACACTTTGATGGCTGTTATCTGGAGAGCTGCCTGCGAGTATCACACTTCTGTACCTTTATATGTTCATGATAAACAACAAAGAATAGAGATGTCATTCAGCTGTGATTCACCACCTTACCCACAACAGGGCAGAATATTTTTCTCTCCCTCTGAAGGCTGGGGGGAAAGATCTGTTATTTTTTGTATTTCCTCTAAAGACGGTTAATCATTGTTCCATAGTCTGTGCAGATGAAAGGACAAAGAGTTGAAAGTTTATTGACAACGATTCGAGATAGATAAGCTGTGTGAGAATAAAGATATCAGGCCAGAATCTCCATTACTGTCTTAGAGAACACAGGATTCTATATCAGCTGTGACCAAATACATCTCGCCACGTTGTTCTGCTGATGGCCTCGTGCACAGAACTGTGGGCAAGCACAGCATCCTTCAGCCAAACATTTAACGTGCTCAGGAGATTCTTCCAGACAGTAATGAAAGCAGCACCACTGCCCATTATGCTGAGACTTCAAGTGTGTGGCCATCAGCATGATGTGCTGCTGCTCTGTGGGCTCCTGGGCAGGCAGTGGTGGCACCTGGATGCAGCACTGTGTGGGTCTGCAATGCGAGGTGGCAGCTGCAGGGGGTGCTGAGAGGTCTGTGAGGATGGAGCTGTGGCAGGGGGCAGGCAGCAGCTTGGGGTTGGGGTGGGAGCTGTGACATCTCCCGTTATTTGATTGCATCTCTGCTGCCCTGGAGGCAGGGTGTTGGATGGAGCATCGTTGTACAAAGCAAGGGGGGAGCAAGAGGGTTTGGCGAGGGCTGGGCAGCACTGGGAAGTTTGCAGCTGTCACGTAGAATTAATTTCAGTACTATCTGGGGATTAGGAAACGCTTTTTTTGCACACAGTCCTCCAGCCTTGCCTTAGTAACCTAGAAGCAGTTTGCCTTACAAAGCCAAAAGAGAGAAGAGCAGGCTTTTAGTGTCAGTTCTGTGCATGCTGACATGAGGCTTTTATTGCTTCTGCTGTAAAATTGTGTTAGGGTTTGGAGGGGATGCAGCCTCTGGATTCCCTAGGGGGATGTGTCAAGAAGATTCTCTGTTGCCTAGGGAAAATGCATGGCTCTCTGTTACTGTCTGAAGCTCACGGGAAAGTGCGTCGCTTGGGCAACGTGACCTCCTGCTCTGAAGCTCTGCTGTGACCCTCACAAAAACGTTTGCTCTTGTGTAGCAAAAACGAGGTGAAAATGGACAGCTCTGTGCAGTTCCTCAAAGCTCAGCAATAATTATTTCAGGGTCTATTTTTCATGATTATTAAAATGCTTTAATGTTTTCTTGTCCTGCTGTTCCTAATGACCCTCTGGAAACTTGGACCGTCTCTTTTTGAAGTCTTGTGGTTAATTAAACAGAGCCAATTTATACAAAGCTTTCCCATGAAATGTGGTAATTTTTGCCTGTATGTTGGTGAGAGATTGTGCTAATATGGGAAGTCCAAGTAATGTTAGCACCTCTTCTTTTTAGAATAATAAATTCCCTGAGACATGGAGGCATTAAAGGAGGAAACAATGGTTGTAAATAAAGCTGTAATTCAGGGTTCTCTATTAGACTGAAGTCACTCTCTGTTCGGTGATACTCGTGTGCTTGTCTCTGAATTAGTGTTCAGCTAAAAGTTACCTCAATAAACCGAGATGAGACTAAGATAAACGACTTGCCCTCCAGCAGAATAAATATTTCAAATAAAATCAACTCTAGACAGTCCAGTCAAGCAACTATTGATCTCTAAAAGCCTGAACTTAAACCCAATGAATATTCCAGAGATCAGCTCTGTGCAGCCTTCCTAAATGCTGATCAATATGCAATTACTTCCCCTGAAAACATTTCTTGTATTATCTAGCCTGAGAAGTACTTTATGTTCAGCTTTCTGTATGGGGAAGGTGGGGGTTTCTTCCTTCCAGCTGACCACCAGGCTGAGCTCATCAGGCACACTCCTTTATTAAAGTGAGTTATTGCCAACTCTAAATCCTGCTCCTTGTGGGGGGACAGTATTTGTCTGGTGTACCCACCAGGGCTCCCCTGCCTGTTCTATGCTAATGTTTGTAAGGTAGTAAAGCAATAACTTCCTCAGTAGTTGAGAGAGAATAAATATATGTATGCGTGTGTGTGTGTGTATATATATATATAAAATATAAAATGAAATAAAAAGAAAATAGGAGGTAGAAATAAAAATAATGAAAAGAAATGAGAAGATAATAGCTTGTCGTCAGCTGCAGTTGTGAAAAGAGCATCTGTCGGCGTAATGTTTTGGCTCCTTGAAGGAAATCTTGCTCAGAGCTTGTTCTCTGGCTCTCTGTGACTTCCCTTGTCACATTAATTTCCCTTTTCATGCCGTCTCTTTGAAGCAGTGTAGTCCAAAGCTCTTCATGTCCCTGGGAAGTTTAAGTTGCACCTTTCTTTTTTTGTTTCCCCACAGAGAAAAGAAGATTTCCCGCAGCAGTGCCCTGAAGGTGCTGGATCACGCCATGATTGGACCCGAGGGCACAGATAACTGCCACAAATTTGTTGACATTCTTGGCCTGAGGACCATCTTTCCACTCTTCATGAAATCACCCAAGAAGATCAAGAAGGTTGGAACCACTGAAAAAGAGCATGAAGGTAGGTCTGTTGCCAGCCCCATCGCTGCTGCTGCAGCTCCCAGCCCCGTGCAGCCTGCCTGTTCACTGCTGCTGTGCTGGCTGCTGATGACATGAATGCCCTGCTTGTTTTGGTATCAGCAGTTCCTGGCAATTCCATTTCATGTGCTGTTAATAAGTTATTTTACTCCTGTAGGGTCTGTTGTTTGAAGCTCTTAACTCTTTGATGCAAAACTCTTTTGAAAAGAGTAATGAGGCAACTACAAATGTCACCTCAAAAGCAGTGTTTTCGTGGCTCTGGGCACTGAAGTGTGACTCAATGAACATCAAGCATTGCAGAAATAAACTGCACGCTTTTGAAGTAGCTTTTTTTTCTATTCTTCCTTCTCTCTCCTGAAAAATTCTGTCTAAACAAAAATGTGCTCTGGAATATTACTGCGAGACCCTGTGAATCTGGGGTCACAGCCAGCCTGCTTCTGGTAACATCACCATTTCCATTTTGTTAATCCTTGACTACTCTTTGGAAGAAGCTGTAAATACTTCCAGTGATGCCTGAGATGTTGTGCCTGCTCATTACTCCTCCTGGTTCTGTAAGAGATGAATACTGTCAAGAGCTCATGAGGTGTGAGTGGGTCTCAGGCTTACCCAGTATCCATCCTTAACTGCTGCAGCAAGCCGTGGGAGAGCAGCTGGAAAACAGCAACAAAAAGGGAGCTCTTAACCTTGGCACCAGGTCAGTGCAGTTGGAATCAGACACCCAGGAGGAGAGGTGGGGAGGGGGTGCCTCCTGCTGCCCTGCGAGTGGAGCTTGTTGCCTGAGGCAGCAGCAGAGCTGGGGCAGGTTGGGCAGACTGCAGCGGGTTGTTCCTTCCTGGCAGGCAGGGAGGTGAGGAGAAGTGACAGATTCAGCAAGCGGCTGTTTTCTTCTTGAAAAATGTGCCAGTGGTGAGCTGGTAACAGTGCATTTGTTTTGGAGCACCATCAGAAAGTTGCTAACATTACATTAATGAGGGTAATGGCTTGGCAAGGCAGCTCCTGGAAGGCGATGCTGAGGGGATGGTTCTGTGGTTGCACTGAAGGGATGGAGGCTGGGGGTGCTTTGAAATCTTCATCTATTGTATGAAAATACAATTATTTGATTCTTCTTACCCACAGAAGCCTCGAGCTAGAATATGGGCTGCTGAGTAGTGAGATCTGGGTCTGCAGCCTGCATCACTGACTTAACTTTTCATTCTGCTTCATCTGCAGCTGACATCCATGTGCAGCATTGGCTGCTGCGAGCATCAGGTAGCAGCTTGGGGAGCCATAAAGAGATCGGAATAGTTCCCTGAAGGGACCTATTTCTGTAATAGAAAAAAGCAAATCTGCCTTTGGGAAAATGGGGTTATCTGTGCAAATGGCCTTCACTGATATTCAGAAGAATGTTTGTTCACTAATATTCAGAAGAAATGCTGGGCGTTAATATATGGAATTTCAGAATGAGTTTTATTAAAATAAACTCTCGAATGCTGTGGTGCCAAATCTGGTCTTTTTTGTAAGAATAAGACTGATCTTCTGCTGGGATAGCATTCGTGTACGTGTCAGTGTGTCTGATGAAGAAGCATCCCCTTAGAGGATTAACTGGGGTCGCTTCGTAGTGGAGGCATTGGTGAAGCAGCTCTGAGGGATCAGCACTGTGTGCAGCACTGCAGGGCTCTGCTGGGACGTGGGCACCCCTGGGGCAGGGACTCCCCTGGTGCCTGGATGCATTCCCCAGCAGTGCTGTGTGCGCAGGCTCTGGGTAATTCTTCAGGTTTGGGGGTGAGATTGGAAGTAATGCTTCTGTATTGCAGATTTTTGGGATGCAGGTGATGTTGTATTGAATGCTGTGTTTCAAAACTGCTCACAGAGCTGGTCAGCATATCTCGGCTGTCCATAAAGGCAGAAGGATTTGGGGCTCTGGACTTCCCAAGCCAACTGTCAGATCCAAGTGCTGGATTCCAACTTGAAATTCTTGAGCAGACTCAGTGAGCTAAAAATAGAGAGCACCAATTCCTTCTGAATTAGAGAGGCTGTGGCGAAGCAATCAGAGCTTGTTTGATGGGCTGCATGTTCTGCTCTTTCTCTATACAGTTATTGCAGTCTAGTTTTGCTCACTTGGAGAGTCTAATGAACTATAAAAGGATGTTTGTTCAATTCATCTTAATTTAAATGCCTTCTCTTGACTTAGATGTCAGTTTTACTTAGGAATACTTAATTTGATAACCTGAGAAATTAGTTCAGCCAATTTCCAAATGAGAATTCCTATCGCTGTGGGTTTTTTTTCTATTCACCCTCCAGCAGGAAGGAAGCCTCCCTTGGAGCCTGTCAGCTGCACACAACCTTTAAAAACAACAGCAGCAGAACCTCTTCCTTAGTCAGTATGCTCTTACTCTTCTGCGACGCACGTTGAAAGTTGGCAAAGCCCTTGGGAATGAATACCTGCACAGATAAGTTCCCTGAGCATGGAGAACTGAAAGGGCAGCAACAGAACAGCAACCTGATAGCAAATGTCTTTGGTGAAAGAAAGACCTTCAGTCAGAAGGCAGGAGGCATCTTTGTTTGGTGGCCTACTGAAACGAACACCCAGGGTGTGCATCAGTCTGCTTAACCAGACCTTTATTGTGCCAATTTGTTACTTTTGCCATCAGCTTTTCCAAACAGGACAGGAATTTGTTATTTGAATGAGCCGTGATGCAGAGTGCAGTGTTGTGTGTGCATCAGTTCAAGTTAGCATTCTTTGTTACAAGAAATCACAAAAACAAACTTTTCTCAGTCATTGGAATTTTGTCCTATGCAAAGCGTTGTGTTCTGATTGCTGCTTGCTGGGCTCTGCGTTTGGGGTTGGACCTTTCCAGGCCCCATTTGCAGATTGGTAACATTGTTATTTCATGCCACTGTCAGTGTTTCCAAATAAGATTTTTCTTTGCAAAGCGTTTTGAGATACCTAGAAGGCTTCTCCTTACAAATGTGAGTTATTAGGATGTGTGAAAGCAGGTAAGCCTGCAGGATGCTCCAGCACTTGAGCAGCGTGTCCTGGTTCTGCAGTAATGCTGTAAAGGGACTGGGGCACCAGCAGAGCATGGGAGTGGAATCTCCTGTGGTTCCATGGCAGTGCTGTGCAGCCTCTATCTGTACGGTGTGTGCATCTGGCACCTGTGCAGGAGCTCAGGGTCGCCCCCATGGCCCCATACTGGGTGCACTAAGCCACCTGTGCCAGAGCTCTGGAACTGTCAGTAGCAAATATCCCTGAGGTCTTGCTTAGGTTATATGTAGGTGGTACTTTCTGTGTCATGCTCTTGGGCTGCACGCCAGCCTGGGTGCTTGCACTGATACAGAATCTGTGCTCCTTGTAAGTCACTTTTTCCAGGGTGGCTGAGGAAAAGCAGAGTCAGTGCAGCAGGGCTGTGGAAGCCTTCTTGGCTTGCTTGTGGATGGGAGCTGCCCACACACCCCACAAACACAGTTTGCTGCTTGCACTGCTGTGCTGCTCCCGCTCACTGTGCTGGAAAGGAAACCCAGCTCATCGAGGCTATGTGTGGGAGTGGTAATAGTAAATTTGATGGCATGTTACAGAGAAAATAAGTTCTTTCTTCTGATCTCAGCATGCAATTTTCATTTTGTTTCTTCAGAACATGTCTGCTCCATCCTGGCCTCCCTCCTGCGAAACCTGAGAGGGCAGCAGAGGACGCGGCTGCTGAATAAGTTTACAGAGAATGACAGTGAGAAGGTGAGTGAGTGAGTGTGCTGCTGTGTGCCTGCTGCCCTGCCTGCAGCCAACAGGCAGCAGTGCTGGGAGGGTGCCTGGTAAGGCCGGGTGCCTGCAGGCACGTGCTGAGTTACTAAAAAGCAGCCCCTGCTCCTGCATGTGGAGACCTGTACGCTCACATGGCGTTGTTCTCTTGTTCTTGTTGCTGCCTGCAAACTGGAGAACAGACAGTGCCTCTAGTGCTTGGCCTCCTGCATCATAAGCACTCTTCATAAGCACTCTTGTTTCCTGATGTGTGTGGAAGCAGGGGCTCCCGGTGCTGCGCTGTGTCTCTCTGCTGAGGGCTGACCCTGTAACATGTTGTGCTGCCTCTGACAGGACCAGGCAGGGAAAGGTGCCTGTTTTATCTAGTGAAGCTCTTTTGTAGCAGTTCCAATAGTACACACTTAGCATTCTCCATCCGTCTTCTAAAATGCCTTGCTTTGGTGGTGTTTAGTCTGGGAAATTCTATCCACAGTATTTACGTGATAGTGGATGGATCAAATAGCTGTGAAACAGTAACAGCAGCTTTTGCAAACCAGTAGTTCTCAGGGGATTTGTAAATTCTGCCGCTGGGGAAAAGCTGGTTCTTCTGTATTTCTCATCAGTGTGTTTTAAAGGTGTTTTTTCATAACTCATTCTACCAATTGCAGAACATTTCCTGTCACTAGGAAGGGTTTCGGTTGCCTGATACAGGGAGCAGGAAAGCCAAGGTACCTCATGCGTTTAACAGAAGTTTGACAATTGCATCCATTTTAGACAGAAGAGTTCATTTAAGAAAGCAGGAGAGCTGGAGAACCAGAACACAGAGAGAGAGAAACAGGGAGAGTCAGGAACACATCTGTTTGCTTCCTTTTAGCTGGGGCTGATGAGGCTGTATTGTGATATGGGATTACATTCAGATGCTCACAGACTCAGCATGCTCATCTGTCCAGCACTTGCAGCAGCCTTCCAGTGCATTCCTTCCTGTGATTGACAGAATTACCTGTTATTTTACAAAGATTGCAGCTGGGAGGAAAACAGCATAGCATTAAGGATAAGATGATTGCATTGTTCTTTTTCTCTTGCTTAGGTCTATCTCTTCTGCCCTTGCAGGTTGATAGGCTGATGGAACTGTATTTTAAGTACCTGGATGCCATGCAGGCAGCTGATAAGAAGATTGATGGAGAGAAACATGTATGTATTGCATAAGTTGTACTACCACATGTCTTTGCTGCTTCTGCATGGGCACTGCACTGCACAGAGCTGCTGATCTGCCAGCTGCCCTCCCAGATTCATCCCCATGCTGTTACCCCTCAGCTTTTATTGCCTCCAGCTTCTGGTTCCCTCAGAGATGGGCTGGGAATTCACTCTCCGCAGTGTTTCTGCCATTTCTTAGAGTGAATTTTACTAGGAGGGCTTAAGTCTGTGCTTTGCTGTGCCTTCACTTTCACTTGGCAGAGATGTTGCTTGTTTTGGCAGATGGAGAGTAAGTGAAATGCAGAGAGTGCACATGGTAATGTGCGAGGATTCCTACCCTGGTCTGCAGAGTTCTGATCGCCTGCAAGGAAACCTCTATTTTGATTAGCTAGATGAGGCCAGAGCCAAAGCCTGGTGCTCTCTGAGCACACCAGCAGCAAATCGTTTTGAATGACACGAGCTTGGGTATCGCACAGTACTTTCTTGGAGCTGAGTCTGGAACAGGAAGAGAACGAGCTGTCGGAGTCAGGAAGCAGCTTGCAGAGCTGTTAGCGAGCTTGGCGTGCTTCCCACAAGATTATCTGTATCAGCACAGAGGAGGGCATGAGATTGATTAGTGCTGACGGAGATAATCACCGCAGCGCCGTCCCCCTGTGGGCACTCGGCGTGCCCCGGCTGCAGCCCCCAGCAGCCTCACACACAGCCGTCCCCACGCTGCCAAGGCTGCTGCTCTGAGCACCAGCAGACATGCTGGGGGGCACCGGAGCTCAGCAGCAAAAGGCACGGGGCTGAGAGATGAATGGAGCTGATGCTGCCAGCGCCTGGGCTCCGTATGGACAGCTGCAGCCTCGCAAACGGACGGTGGCCTGGAGACAAACGGCCTTTACCCTCTTCTGCTATCCCTCTGCTCTCCATTCATCCACCTCAAAACAGAAGAAATTATTTATTCTCTGTGTTTCGATGTTGCTGTGTGGGTTTTAGAACTCAAGAAGCAGAGCTATTTTTTTTTTTTCTGGCTGAAATCTCACAGTGTTTGGGCAGCTGCTGTACAGAGCTCTTAAAGGCAGCACGCAGAGCCAGTGTGTGTGTACTCTGTATCCAAGGAAGTCCTGAAGTAGCTACAGATGTTAACACCTGTAGCAAACAGCCAGCACAGAGCGGGGGTTTGGGTTGAAGGGAGTTGTTTGGGTGTGAAGCAGCTTGTATAGAAGCTGTTTGATTAATAATAATGTTCCATTCATGTTTAGTGGGACACAGGAGAAGGGAAAACATAAGCGTTCAGGTTTTCCTCTCGTATCCAGAAGCCAGTGTGCTTTTGCCCTGCTGCAGGGCTCTGCGGGCTGGCCTGGCTGCCATAAATGGATCTCAGTTCTTCGCTCCTATTAGTGCTAGTAATAGGATTTGGCAGAAACATCCCACATGTGCTTTGACCTTCTGCAATATATTTCAACGGAAAATATCAAAGTGTTGTGCTGAGATTTACTCATGCTGCATGTCACCCCTGAGAAGCAGATTTGTACTCCGCATGTGAAGGACGCTGGTATTCAAAGCAGTGTTCAGAGCCTGGTGGTAAAGATTAGAAGGCTTGGAGGCTGGGCTGGACTAGACTGGAAGTTTGTCCAGTTCCAATCCCGATCACCTCTAAGCACCACAGGTGATAGCGTGTCACCAAGTTACTATTTTCACTTGTGTCCCCACTCCACAGCTGGGAGATAAAATGTTTTCCTATTTCTCAGAGTAGTTGTGAGATTAAATGCCCTAAAATATGTGCACCGTGTTGTTTGTGTTCTGGTGACAGGTCCATAAACTTGAATTACATCCAGTACTATCATCACATGTCCCACAGCTCCACTTTTCCCCAAACTAAGCAATTCCCAGCAGAACTAACATCTTCGTCTGTTCCAGCACGGAACAGAGTCTTTCAAAGTTTGTTATTATTGTTAGAGCTGCCTTGTGAGGCCTTTTAAGCAGGGAGTGCATCAGCACAAATGCTCTCTGGGCTCTCCGACGCACAGGTCCCCAGTGACAGAGAAATGCCAAAGCAGCATTAGATTTTTATTATTATTATTATTCTGTTTTGTGTGCGCTGGCAGGGCAGTAAGCAGCAGGTGAATAAGCTGCTCTCTGAATAGTACAGAGTAAGGTCTGTCTAAATATTACCTGATAACTCTTATCCTTTGTAAGACAATAACATAAAGCACCAGGAACTTAGAATCGCCCTGTTCTGGTAGCTGCTGGTGAACTCCTCCATCAGAAGGGGTCAGAAATGTATCTGCTCTGCTTTGTGTGCCTTCCAGTTCTGATTGGGGCCCAGGGTTTCAGAGTGCATTAATGGTTATTTGCAGTCATTATGAAGTACATTTCTGCTTTCCAGAAATAAATTGCCTTTTTTCCCAACATCCTGAGTGGGGTTAGAATATTGGGCACGGTGTTCGTGAAATATGATGTTGAGCTTCACTTCTCACTTGGAACGCTCCCGGGGTTATGGATTTCTTTGGTACTCAGCATTCTAAAATGGTCAGTGGGAAATGGTCTGCTGAGATTTGAAGAGGCTCTGGTGGATTCCTCAGGCAGAGGTGGGCAGAAGCTGTCATTCTGCCCATCAGCCCAGGGAGCTGCCTGCCTCTGATAGGATTTATGGGCTGCTTTAGTGTTTGCAGTTGTTGCTCATGAATCATTGAAGTGGATGTGTGAACACAGTCCTGCAGAAGCTAGGCTTTGTCACTTGGGGGGCTTTTGACCTTCCTCTGGTGGTTGAGGACATTGTTAGTGCTCCAGAAGCCAGGAATACGGATCCTATGCTGCCCCAAAGGAGAGAAAAAAAAAAAAGACACAATGAGATTTTACAGGTTCAGCCTATCCTGAGGAGAGAGAGAAAGAGAGATTTGAGTCTGATGGACAGAGTATCCTGGTGTAAGTCTTGCATTACAAGAAGTGGAAACCTGATTATACAAAGAACGATTGAAGGTATCATACCTGGAGTTTTATCTTCAGTAGTGCAGCCGGCATAAGAAGCTCCTGCCCTTGCAGTTCTCTTCCCTTCCCTTTCTTTTAGTGATCTGGTTTATAGCTCAGCCCTTCAGACTGGCAGTGAAGGCGTGGGAATTGCTGAGAGTAGGAGGGAGGGGAGGAATTTTTTAAGCCAGCTTTTTGCAAAGAGCAGTTGTTGTAAAACTGCATCGTGAATCTGGACGACGAGACAGAACGTGGTCCAGCAGGGGAGCATCCCTTCCTCTCCTGTTACCCGGCTGTTTGCTTCCGTGGGATCTGTTCAGAAGCGATCAGAGAAGATAAAGCCACGATTAGCCTAATTGCAATGAGAAGGATTGCTTTGCTGCGAGCAAAGTCTGCTCTCAGCCTTGCTGAGGGATGGTAGCTGATGCCTGAGGAAGGAGGAGGATGCAGAGAATGCTTTGGGCCCTGACGCGTTGGCTGCGTGGAGCAGATGTGATCCCTGGTGTAGCAGCAGCTGATCCATTGTATCTTCAGTTTTTGAGTCTTTACCTGACACCCTGAGGCCTGTCAGTCCTGCCTCATTAGTGCGAGAGAAGCTCATTTTAGCTTCACAGAAGCCCATCTCATTGCTGTCTTCTCCCATCAGCAAGGGGCATCTCAGCACATATTGCTGGCAGATTAGAAATGGCATCTGAGTGCTCATTTGGAGGTTAGCGACTTGACAGCTTTGAAAGAGAGACAAAGTGGAAAGGTGGCTATTTGGTACTGTACGGAGGCAGATTAGCATTTAGAGGCTGATGGTGGTTTTTTTATTGTTTTTAATAATAAAAAGGATGTGGAAGAAAGCACCTAAAACTCTACCTGTGTTCTAATTCGTATCTGCTTAATTCACTGGCACGAAATTATTTTGCTTCTGTGTTGAGAGGGGCTCTTAAGGCTGCTGCCTTCCTGCGTAATCAAATCGGCGCTTGTCTGGATTCTGCTCCTGTGATCACAGTGCTGGGATCAGAATGCAGAGCAGAAATGGCCTTTGTTTCCTGCTCTGGCGATTCAGAATCCTTGTTGCCTCTCGATGTTTTTCTGTTCAGGAGTTCAGTGCTGTTGAGAAGAACAGCCATTGAGCCTGTGTGCACTGAGAGCATAAGCAGTGGTTTTGGGAGTGAGTGCCTTGTCTTTTTCCTCGAACGAGGTTTTTGGATGTTTCATTGAATAGCTGCCTACCTCTGGTTGCCAAACTCAACATTCTTCAGCTTTAGAGCCTAGATTTGGCCAGATTCGTTCAGTTTGGCATCCTAGGGTGAGGAAAGTTGCTGCTTGCACAAAATTGGATTTCTTCTTTTCTGGCAGGAGCTTGCCTGCAGGTTTTGCCCAGTCACGCCTGTGCCTGTGATTTTGAGAGTCTGGAGTGAATGGCAGTCATGCAGATACCAGTGTTGAGGCATCCTGGGGTGTAGCCTGTGCAGTTGGCTTTACAGCATTGGTAACTAGGCATTGTTCCTTGAACTTGCCTCATCCTCTCATTGGCAAACTGGGTTCTTAGGAGGAATGGGAAAGCATTTCATCACCTGTGCTTTCTGTGTTCAATTTTGGGAGGCAGCAATAAAAATTGCAGCTCAAAGTCACTTAATCAGATGTGTGTATGGTGGAGCCCAGTGTGCAGGGCTGATGTTCCTTCCCGTGCCTGGAAGACTCTCCCTGTGATCAGACAAAAGGGTTTGGTTGGACGAAACAAGAAGATCTGGTGGCTGAAATCAGCTTTGGTGCTGGTGACCTTGTGTGTGTTTGCCTGGAGCGTGTGTGCGTGAAGGAAGCTCTGTGAGCATTACAGGTACAGTGCTCTCACTGGTGATGGCTCTAATGAGGAAATATTGCTCTGCTGGTGCGTGCCCACCTGCCAGCCTGCTGCATAATAAATCACATGGGCTGCAGTGAGCTCGCAGGGTGTGACAAGCTGCTTCCTTTATCCAAAGACAAAAACAAAAACCAAACCCCCGAAATGCAAAAGGTCGTATGTGCCATCAGTGATTGCACCCTGTTGGTCGCTGAGGAAAGTCAGGGTGGGCTCACCCTGTGACGTGGAAGGCCTCTCTCTGCAGGGAGCTGCTCAGGGCTCGTTGCTGGGCTGCTTTGCTGCTGTTGTGAACCAGTAAGTGCTCTGTCTGAGGATGGAGCAGCCTCCTGCATTCTGCCTTCAGGCTCTTTTAGCAAAGCACCCTCTGTGCAGGCAAAGGAAGAACCATCCCGTGGAAGCAGAGCTCTTGTGCTGGCTGCAGCTGGAGGCTCAGCCCCATCGCTGTGCCCAGCCAACGGCTCTGGAGGAGAATGGCTGCGAGTAGTGAAACTGTACCGTGCAGAAGTTGAGACCTGATTTCTTATCCAGCAGTCAGTGGTGAAGTTAGGAGGTCTGTAGGGCTTTGAGCTGCTGGAGTCGCGTTCTGCACTGCTGAACAGCACCCTCAGATGGCCAGTAAAGGAGCATGGGCTTTGTTCCACCTTGACAAAGGACTGGTCTGTTTCCTATTCACAGTCTCTGATCACTGGGTTTAGAAGTGTGATTTCTGTGTTGAAATTAAAACGTTAGCTTGTGGATGGACACACTTCACACCAGCAGAGACAAGAGCGAGTTCAGAATCGAGTGAAATGTTTTGTGGATTTAAATACGTGATCAAAAGGAGTACTTCTGTGGTAAGAAGTGTATGGATGTTTTGGGAGAACAAAGCATTTCTTAAGGAGCTGCAAATATCACCAGCATCACTCATCACCGTGAGTAATGGGAAGTTCTCTGAGAGGCAGCCTTGACCCCTTTTCTGTGCGTTGCTTTCCAGGACATGGTGCGCCGAGGAGAGATAATAGATGATGACATGGAAGACGAATTCTATCTCCGCCGCCTGGATGCTGGTCTCTTTGTTCTGCAGCTCATTTCCTACATCATGGCAGAAATCTGTAATGCCAATGTTCCCCAGGTAAAGCTGTGTACAGAGCTGATGGGTCGCCGTGTTTCCATCTGTGATACAAATGAGACTAATCCTTGCTAATATTGGTCGTGTGATATAATAATGAAAAATATTGCAAAGATAGCCTTGCTTGTATCATGCAAATATTGCCTCTTAATTCCTTTTTTGGGGAGGAATCTTGCTTGTTGCCCTGTGTCCATGCAGCTTTGTGAAGTTACAGCAGTGAGGAGGGCAGTAGTAGGTACAGGAGCTGATGGTTACCACTGAGTTCATGCAGGCTGCCATGAGCAAGGTCACAGTTAGAAACTGGAAGGCCCTGTTTATACCACTGCTTGAGTGCTGAAAGGGAATATCTCTTGGAAGGCCTCTCAGAGACACAGACTGCAGATGGGGACTTTTCCTGACCTCTGTAAAATACTGCTTTTTTTTTTTTGGCATGGCTGTGTTGGGGTTTGTGGCTGTATCTTGTGGTTACCTACATGTATGCCATTGTACCTTCCTGAATGTTTTAAGTGCTCTGGGACTGCGGACCAGCAAGCCTGAACTGGCTTTTGTGGTTCTTGTGGTTTCCACTCAAAAAGAGTGGAAAAAGTGGGGTTGTGCATGGCTTTGTGTTCTGATGAAGATTCCTTCCTTCTCTTTCCTGATCAGATCCGTCAGAGAGTCCATCAGATTCTGAACATGAGAGGCAGCTCCATTAAAATCGTTCGACACATACTGAAGGGTGAGTTGAGATATTCCTGTGCGTGTTTCATTCTGTACCAGGGACAGTTTGGTCAGGGCTCTGTAGGATGAGCCTTTGCACACCATTGTCCCAGATTTCAGGAGCATCTCTGAGCAGCAGTTATGATGTGAGATCTGACCAGGGCTGAAAGCCTTGATAAGAGCCTTGCCTTGGAGTTAAGATGCTTGCTGTTGTCTGCTGTCACGTAATGCTACAGCACTTCATGCTGCTGTCAGCTGCAGACTGACTGGCTCACGCTAGAATGCTAGAGTAAATATTTAAGAGAAGTGTATACACATGCTAGAGGATAGAATAGTGGAGTCTCATCTTTCATTAACATGGCCCTGCTCTTTACCATCTGCACCATATTGGTATCCGTGGTGTATTTGTCTTGTTCTTAGTGTCAGATTAATATGGATTATAGCATTAAAGTATCCTCTGTAGCTTTAAAATGTAGCTGTTGTGATTTGCAGTCCTGATTCTAAAGTACTGCTTGTTATTTTGAATGCTTATGTTGAATTAGAGCAGTGCTTATTTGAGCTGTGTCTCTCATCTGTCGCCTGCTGTCCTTCAGCAGAAGCAGACAGTTAGACTGAGGGGGAGGGGACAGGGATCAGGGCTCTGTCTGCAGCCCAACCTGAGCTGTCAGCACTGATCCATCGCCCCTGGAGGTGCCTCTCCTCGTGTAGCAGAGATCTGTGCTCCTGAGGGGCTGTGCAGGTCTTGGAGAGGAGGATTTCTCTCATGAAGGGAAAGAAAAGTTGTCAGCATGCTTGGGATTCTGGGCTTGGGGCCGTGTTGTTTCAGTCTCTCTGCTTTCTTTGGGAATAGCAATGATAGCAGGTATTAAAAAAAAAATAATAAAAAAAAAGAGTGATTTTCTGACAGCATGAGATTACCTGGAGCTACAGGCAGCTCTTTGGCCTCATGCTTCCCCAGAAAGTTCCCCAGAAGCAACGTTTGCTGCTTCCTGCCTCCAAATGCCCATTTGTACCTTAGAACATGGCACATTTCTCCTTTCATGTGTGACCAAGGCCACAGGTGCTTCAGAGCCTTCCCTGCACTGCACCTCATGTGCCAGCACACCCCGTGTTCCCCTCTGTGCCTGTTGGCTCACATGCTGACCGGGGGCAGCTGCATGAACACTTCATCCCATTCCTTCTTTCACAGACAGTGACTTGCATTGTGAAACTGTTGTAATGGTGTTATCATGTCTGGTGAGCTGCTTAGAGAAATACAGATTGTACAGCAGTGTCAGCAGGGATGTGTTTGCTTTCTATAGAGACCTCAAATGGCACGTTAATAATAGGAATGATGGGTGCATTATTTGGGGCTTTCTCTTCAGCTCTTCCCCAGCTGTCACACTTGGCAGAGCTTTGAGATTCGTGCCGTCACAGTTGTCAGTAACTTTAGGAAGGAACTTCTTGGTGGGTCCTTGGGAAGCGCAGGGCTGGGGTGGCCCGAGGTTCCTGCCAGGCAGGGGTTGCACAGAGCTCATCTGCCATCTTTGCTGGTCACATCTAGCTTTTGTTAGTAGTTATGGCCCTGTTATCGAGTACCTCGTCAGCAAAGACTGGGCCAGCTGTTAGCTGGGGTTACACCACAGTCAAAGCCCTGCCTCTCCAGAAGAGCTGATCCATTGGGCACAGCTTGGCTGGGGGCTGCGAGCACGTCCTGCTGGGGGCACTGAGCAGCTTCTGGAACTGAAACAGAGGAGGCTGTGTTCTAAACGAGGGAGCCTTGCCCTTGGCTGAAGCGTTTCTGAGCTGGGTTGCAGCTTGCTCTCAGGACAGGTGAGGGCCAGTTTATTTTTACTTTTCATTCGGTGTTTCGCTTCCGTTCAGGTTTTATTTGCTATTTTTTGCATACTAATTAGGTGCTTGGTTTTTAGTTTGATTTTATGGCCTACATATTCTCCATGTTTCTCTGGCAACCTGACAGCTGATGGATCCCCTGGGGTTGCTCAGAATTACTTATGATGCAGGCGAGGAAGCAGGACTGTTTCTGTATGGTAGGACTTCCAGGGGGAGGAGCAGGCAGGGAGAGCTGGAGGCTCATCAGCTGCACTCCTGCAGGCTGACCACTTGCCCTGCAGTTTCTTTCCCTTGAAGATCAGCATCCCTGCAGTGGGACAGTCAGCTCATCCCATGGAGGTGTGGCTGAGCAGTGCATGTCATGGCTGGAAGGGGTGCTTGGGGCAGGGAGCAGTCCCTGCAAACCCCAGGGCACCTCTGGGGCCTATGGAGAGCTGAGCCAACCTGTTAGCCTGTGTAACCAGCAAGGGGTGGCAGGGATGCTGTAAGGACGATGCTAAATTTGGCCTGTGGTCCCTCTGTATGTGCAGGCTTTATGGCTTCCAATATCCATTACAAGCTTCAATATTTCCTTATTGATTTTTACTGTTCTGTAACCATTGTATTTTGTCTAATGAAGCAGAAACCGATCTCAGGTCCTTTCCCTTTGTGTAGCTACAGCAATGTGTAAGCTCTGTTTAACTGTAGGCAAAGGGAGCTGATGTCTGATTTTTGCTGTCTCACTGAAGTGATGGAATTTTAAATAAGCGAGTAAATACAGAAAATCTCAATGGTGATTTTATTTATTTTTTAAGCCCAGTTCTGAGAGTTTTATCTGCTCTTGTCAGATCAATATCAACCACTGTTGGTACCCCAATAACAGCCTGCCCTGGGAGTTGCAGGGCTCGTGGGCCCATGAAACCAAAATGCTCGGGAGGAAAAATGTGGAGCTACTGGAGAAGGCAAGGGGAATCCTTGTCCTGCTTGTGCCTGCCTGCCGGGCCAGCAGCAGAGCACTGGGGGCACGCAGCAGCCCCATTGCCAGTGTGCTGTGCCCCCACAGCTGGTGGCTGTCACTGCAGGCAGCCTCCCTGCCACCGGGAGCAGCCAGGCACCAGGCAGCCACGCTGTCCTCGTCCTCCAAGCGCTCAGCACCACCAGCAGCAGCAGCCAGGAGAGCGTCGCCCTTGGGCTGCAATAAACAAAGGCAGTTGCATCTGTTTCAGAGGCACTTAGAGTGACAAAGCACAGAAGTGTTTGTGGACAGTGCCTGTTCCCCCTGGGGATCTGTGCGACACAAAGCGCTCTGATAACCGCCCCAAGGGGACAGGGGAGCCTGAGCCCAGCGCTCACCTCATCTCCTAGGCTCCTAATCCTGTGCTGTGCTGGGGCTCAGCTCCCACCTGCACTGTGCAGCCAAACTTTTGCCCCTGGGCTGCCCTGCAGGCAGCTCAGCAGGTGGCTGTAGGGAGCACAGCCGGGAGCTTGCTGCTGTTAGTGAGACGGCGAGCTGCTCCATCACCTGGAGGGAGACTTCCCTGCCTTCATCCCCTTCTCCAGGACTGAGAAGAAGCAGGATTCACCCGCAGCAAGCTGTAGTGCTACTGCCTGCTCTTGTTACAGGTACTGTAGCAGCTGATAAATATTAAAAGGACTTCTTCCTGAGGCGTTGGCAAAGAATTCTGCTTTTTGTATGTGGAGAGAGAGAGAGAATGCACACATGAGGGAAGTCTCCCACATCAGCTAACTTCTCCCTGTCCTCACTCCTTTCAGTGCTCCTATAATAAAGGCTTTGATAGAGCTCAGAGGCATGTAGCAGTGCTGAACGTATAAATATTAAAGCAAACTTTCTCCAGCAACTTACCATTCAGATGCTGAATACAAGCTGTTCAGTTTGTTTAGGAAGAAGGGAAAGAAAAAGAGAGGGCGGAGGCTGGAAAACACCATCTAACCAGGCAGGCTGCACCTGATTCACTGAGATTTGTGCAGATCCCTGCTTTTTTTACAGCTCCAAACCTGCTTTTCATTTTTCCTTTTTAAGCCATCCTTGAATATGTAGGTTCTGGTGACAGAAAGGAGCAAGCTGGGGAGGGAATGAGAGCGAGGAGCTTTAGGTGGATGTCAGGAGAGAGCTGCAGGGGAATTCCTGTCGTGCTGTGTTTGGCCATGTGGGCTGGCAAAGCCTTGATCAGGATCTAGCTGAAGGCAAGGCTTTTGCTTTATAGTTGCATCTTAATTGGTTTGTTTCCTTCCATAGGGTTAAAAACACTCATAGGCTGGGGAATTGATCTCCTTTGGACCAGTTCTACACAACTCCTCCTTCAGGTTGCTTGGAAAATGGACACATCAAACCTGAAGTTAGGGGAGTTTAACAAATGTGTAACAGCCTGACCTCCCCGGGGACTGCAGGTGGCAGAGGAGACCGGCTCTGTGCTGGGCTTCTCGGGCTGAAAGCAGCCAGCCCCACAGCTCTGCACTTCACCAGGCGCTGCTGACTGCTGCTCCCGGGAGGTGGGGCGGCCTCACGGTCTGCCCTTGGGGCGCTGCACGTCCCGGTGCTGCTGAATGACGAGAGCATCGTGTTCCTCTTTAAGTCTCTCTTTGCTACAAAAGCTTTAATGAGGGTCGGCGGATGTTTTGTTAGGCGAAGCTTTAACGCTTGGAGATGGGGAAAGAAAATCATCTCACATAAATTCCCATCCGCTCGTTTGCGGTGCGCAGGGATTTCGCAGGAGAGGTCGGCCGTCGCCGCCTGTGTGGCTCACAGCCTGTTTGTGCTGCTTTCTGTCCTGCAGAGTATGCAGAGAACATCGGGGATGGCAAGAACCAGGAGTTCCGTGAGAGCGAGCAGAAGCGGATCGTGGACCTGCTGGAGAACTTCTGAGGCTCAGGGCTGAGCTCTGCGCTTCCCATGGCCTCTGTTTCCCCTCCTGCTGCTGCTCTCTTCCAGCCTCGATTGCACGATGAAAGCCCTGTTTCTATGAAACTATTCTACGTGAGATGTTGGAGATATTAAAGATCAGTTTGCTTTTTTCTTTTGATTCCCTTGTCCGTTCTGTAAGGCGTCTGCTGTGAGCTGGGTTTACAGCTGCTTACCTTGCTGTAGGGCAGCTTAGGACTTTTTTCCTTCAAATCAGACTGCTGTGACCAGAGCGTGGAGGAACACAACCATCTGCTTGCTGGAGGAGTGGCAAGGAGTGTGATACCAGCCAGGGAGCCGCGCCGGTGTGAGCTGGGGAGGCGGAGGGCTTGGGTCTGTGTGCAGTTTGGCCTCTCCTCAGTGCACTGCCAGAGCAGCAGCCGCTGGGCCTCGTCTGTGTGCACTCTACAAAAGTCAGCCTTCTGAATCTGGAAGTGGGAGTCCGACTTCCTGCAGCAGCAGAGCCTGAAAAGCCCCACCAGCAGCGGGGGGAGGACGGAGTGATGTGAGTGGTGGCAGCCTGCAGCTCGTTTCTGTGCTGCCCTGCTGCCCTTGCAGTGTAATCCCAGATGTTGGCCTGCCAGGTCCCACCGCTCCCCGAGCAGCAGCTCCCAGCTGGGATGAGAAGTGCCTGACACTATTTGCCTGCATCTCTTTTTTTTTTTTTTTTTCCTTCTGCTAAAGTTAATGACTGTCATCACAAAACATCGCTGCTCCAGCAAGCTGGGCCCTGCCTAATTTAGGGAGATTTGCATGCTGGCAGCATTCATTTTTTATCTCCAAGAAAAATGCATTGTCAGGGAAGCTTAAAGGCTGCCTTCAATCATGACTGTAGCAGGCACTGCTGGCCCGGGTGGCATCAAATGCTGTTATTCAGGGGATCAGCATGGAAACAGTGGCTCCAGCAGCCATGAGGAGCTGCAGAACACATTTTTGGTGCCGAACTTGTTTGAATTCTTCATTTCTTTTTCATCTCTTGTTTTTTAAAATCATTTTCACCCCTCACCTCTTCCTTAAAAAGGTTGGTTTGTTTTTTTTTTCCTTCTACCCTTCAGCTTTGTTCAGTTTGTGACTTTGCACGACTCCTGGGATTCCTCCCTCCCATGCAGTGTTGTGTGTGGCTGAGCTGCTGCCTTCCCTGCTGGAAGGCACTCCGGTGTTGTGCCACCACACCTGAAAGGCAGAGAAGGGAAGGGAGGTGAGGAGGCACTTCTGAGGCAGAACAGGAGGGACTTAGCAAACGTGAAGCGAAGTGGAAAAGTGGGGGATGTACCTTGGGTGAGGAAAAAGTGGGGAGCTGTTGAAAATAGTCATGAAGGTGCCTGAGTGCCCCATGAGGTTGTGGGGTTTGCTTTTGGCTTGGATGTCAGCACGCTGTGAGTGCCATCGCTCCATGTCTGCCCGTGTCAGCCTGGCTCGCAGGCTGTGCAGGAGCAGGGCTGCCTCTCCCCTCGCTGCTCTGCTGGGTTCTGCTTTCAGAAAGCTCCTTTCCCTTCCCCTCAGTGTTTTCCATTCCAGATGCATTAGCTGAGTTACTTAATATGGAGGCTAGACTGGAAATAATTCCCTGCTCTAATGGCCGGGCTGCCAGCTCTCCAGCACTGCTGGAGGAAGTGAGGCTGCCGTGGTGCTCCTGCTTTGCAAGGCAGCGTTTCTGTCACTGCTTTTTCCCCCCTTTTTGCCATTTGTCAGCTCTTCAATCCACCCCACCTGAGCCTGTGGATGGCTCACAGGAGTCAATGTGCTCCACCAGGCTTCTACAGAACAGACAATAAATTATTCTCCCTATCTCCATCGTGTTTGAGAGGCGCAGACCCCCTGCACACGCATTGGGATCCTCTGCTGGGCAGTCTCTGTATGCCGACTTCTTGCTCTGCCTGCTTGTAAACCCAGGCCCCTGTAAGGCAAAACCCCACACGTGGGCTGCACCTCAGGCACGCAGGACTGGGGCTGGGTTGGCTCACAGCAGGGGAACAGGCACGGGATGGAGGCAGCAGAGCGTGAGGGCAGGGAGCCCCATCTGCACCGCACCTCTCGTTGGGCCTTGTTTTCTTGTCTCTGATTGTAAACAGATTTGACTAAAGAGGTAAATTAGAAGTTAATTAGAAAGAACATGATTGATGAGGCGCTCTGCAAGTTTCCTACCGCCCTGTCCGTGCTCAGGAAGGAAGGAGAGGGGGGAGATTCTGCAGCATCACCTTCACCCCCGCCCTGCGCAGCGCTGTGGTACCCAGCAGTGGCACCGAGCCCCAGCCCACAGCCCTGCTCCTCCCCTGGGCTCCAGGTGGGGGAGGAATCTCCTGACATCCAGGCAGAGAAACGGGAGGCACTGAATTGAGGAGATGCTGTCAGAACTGGGCAGTGAGCCTTCAGCAGCACAAGTAAAAGTCACTGAAGATACTTGTTTCATTTCTAGCTTCTTGTATTTAAGATTAATGAAGTAAATAGCAAGGAGGGGGGAAAGGGGGTCTTATTTCTTCCTGCACGTTTAATACTTTGGTCCTTACAGCAGTGGTCTGGGAGCGCTGCAGCAATGATTGGCACCCGTGACGGCACTGCTGTGCACTGGGAGCCCGCGGTGGCTCTGCAGAGGAGGAAGGAGTTAATGGGCTGGAAATGAGCGCGAATTGTTCTCGAAAGTAATAATTCTTGCCAAGTAATTTTCTTCTGCCTTTGCTGCCTGGGGTGACGGTGCCTGGTGTGGGGCTCCCCTTGGGTTGGGAGCTGTGTCCTGTGCCCCCCCCGCTGCCCTCGTGCCTTTAAGGTCTGCGCTCCTCCAGCACGTGCTGTCTGCAGCTCATCGCCTGCCGGCCGATTTGTGCAGGAGGAGGTTGTGATTTGGGGCGTCGGTGGCATTGTTTTCCTGCAGCGCACGCAGACCTTTGCAAATAATCTAATAATGCAGGGATGTCAAACTTGAGCAGCGGAAGGGAATCCTTTTATACGAGGATTGCCAAGTCTCCGAGCGAGCATCAGCACCGCGCTCGTACGGATGCTGAGGGCGTCTGTTCCGTTTGTTCTGCCCGCCAGCGAGATGAACGGCCCCATCTGCTCCCCCAGCAGGCAGCCCTCAGTGGGGCTGAGCCCCAGCCTGGGAGGCGCCGCTCCTCGTGCTGCTCCGCTCCGATCCGTGCGAGGTGTGGGGCGCCGCTCCCCCTCAGCGCCTGCCTGGTGCTGCGGCGCTGGTGGCGGATGGCACCCGGAGCCGGGGTGGGTGGCCGGGCCGTGCAGAGCGGAACCAACGGCGTCCGCAACATGAAACAGCGAGCGGAAAGGCTGGCAGGAGCGGAGATAAGAAACGCTTCATCCTCCAGAGCGAGGCCCTGGGCGTGCTCCTCTGAAGCAGGAGCCCTGCGCGGGTTGCCGGCTGCGTTGGAGGCTCGGCGTGGGCAGATAAGGGCTCTTTGTGCAGCATCCCCCCACCGGGCAGCTGCCGGCTCTGCTCCCGGCTGCGGAGTGAGCGGCCGTTCCCGGTGTGTGGGGCTCGGTGGGGCTGCGCGGCAGCGATAGCGGGCAGCATCTGCTCTGGCCCTGATCGCTGATGAATTAAAATTGAGGAGGAAAATGAAACCTTCCACGTGTGCACGAGATACGAGGACGCGCGGCTCTTCCTTTCTGCGCGGCCGCCTCGTTGTCAGCTCCTCACCCCGCTGCAGCTGCAGGAATCGGCTGGAATTGGGGCTTCATTTGGCTCTGCATACGGAGACGTTCCCAGCTCCGGGAGAAATCGATGTTCTCCTTGCTTCCTCGGGGCGTGATTTAAGTGTGTGCGATGACAGGAGGGGAAGGGGAGCACAGGGGGGTCAGTAGGTAGCCTTGGTTGTGCTGGGGGCGCCAGGACAGCCGCATCCATGGCTCTCCTGCGGTGGTTTGGTGCTTCGTGGAGCGGTGGGGACAGCGCTGTGGCACGGGGGGACCTGGCAGGGGTTGAGGTGGGTCCCACGGTGGGGTTGTGTGTGTGAGCCCCCAGCGCTGCACGCCGAGCCCCCCATCCACGCAGCAGCCGCCGCCCCGGCCCATCCGTCACCTCGCTCTTTCCCTCTTTCCCCCAGCGTGTAACTCTAGAGGGAGTAATGAACTCGAGCAGAGATCAATGCTGTCTGTTCTGCTCTTATGTGGGCTTTATTTTGACACGCCGAAAGCACCGCAGCGCACAGAACTTTTTTTTTGTTTTGTTTTACAACCGCTGCTTTATGGTGGCGGCTGAGCGGCTTCGGGGCTCTGCTGCGTCCCCCGGGCCCTCCGTGCAGGGCTGGGATGGGAAAATCGACCGCTGCGCTGCCCGAGGATCCTCGCGAGGGAGCGAGGGGGGGGGGGGGAGTGTTGTGTTTCCATTGCATTTTCAAGTCCAGTGTAAAGAATCTCTTTGCAGCCAGCATCTGTCATCTCGGTGCAGGGAACACCTGAACGATCTGATTGCCGCTGTTTATCGCGGAGGAAATATCCTTCAGGCGGCTTCGCTCCTCGCGTGCGGCTGTGCCCCCCTCCCCGAGCGGTGCGGGGCTGAGGCTGCGGGGCCGCCGCCTTCGGGCTCTTCGCGTTCTGAACGTTTCAGCACAGGAACGCGAACGGCGCAGGCGGTGCCGG